ACAGACAGAAAGGTTACTCTTGGACAAGACTCATATATATCCAGCACCAACTTCAATAAAGGGGCTCAACACTAGTGGTGGGCTCTGGTGCTCACAACCAGCAAAGTTCAAGTAATTGCGTAGTTTTGCAATTTGTGCGTCTAGCTGATTTGTGTGTCACCAGTTTAAGCCTGTGTGAAACATGAGCCCGAAGTAGGACATTCTGGACATTTGGTCATGTTGTTTTGGAGCGGGGCTCAGAAGCAATGTCACCATATCAAGCTGAACAATAGATGAATATACCCCCTCTCTGCGAGATGCTCCCAACTGAAAGCTGTGCTTACCCAGTACTTCCAGCAAGGGTTTGCAGTGTCTCCTCTCATAGCCGCCCGCTTAACAACCCCGAGGCCCCAAGGTCCAAAAAAACTCACCCGGTCGCAGGTCTACACTTTCCCTCTCACCCAACCAAACCTGGTATCCTTGGTTTTGCTCACTTAGTCTTCCATTTGCTTAAGCCCCCTGGGAAAATACAAATATGTCCAGTGATGATAGATTCCCTTTAAGACCAGCAAGCGGAAATAAGACATATTCTTGAGTAAATGGGTGTAGTGAAACCTAAAATGAAAGACAATTACCACACGTTTCCCACTCTATGGGCCTCAAGAAACAAGCCAACGGTTGATTCTGATGCGCCTATCGGAAGGGATTTGAACAACCTCCCGAAGCATGAAGCGAGTATGGAATTCTTTGGTTGGGTTGCTAGCATTACATTGCTGCAGTGTCCTCAAATCGCAGGCCCGTTTGGATCTTCAAAAGCGAAAGGGCGGCAACTGGTTTACTTGTGTTTCATGGGTAGAAATGCCACCTGGAGATAAGGGACCCCCGAGGACCTTCTTCATGGGTGAGCTTGTTTTACCAACTTGTCCTAGGCCCAAATTGGTATATCTCAAAATATGGGACCCCCGAAACTTGCATGATTCCTCTTGGCTTCAAACCAACCTTAAAAGGGCGTGCCGTCATAAAATCACATCCAAAAGGTTGGTACGTGTGTGCTCGGTTGCTCTGCTCCCGTGCCAAAAGTTTAACTTTTAGTGGGTTCATGGAAAACCGGGCTAAGCAAAATGCACCAAAGTGCGTGTGTGTGGTTTGGATGGGACCCCCCTTTTGGAGGTCCAAATGTCCCTTTCAAACACACTGTCGCCTCGTGCTGGCTGCTGGCCGCAAGCACCTCTGCCTGACAGGCGAATGAAGAAGCCCGGGAATCGCGGATGGTCCACAACAGCTCTAAACAGCTTGCCTTCAGCTTCTCTCCAACTTGTGGTTTGGATTGGCGGTTACCGTTAAGGAGGGGTTTTCTATTCACCCTCCACAAAAGCCAGGGGTTCAAATTCAAATCCAAATGATCAGTCAAACCACCAACTAAGGGTCCTGGGTCACCGGACTGAGTTGAGGAGGTATTAGGTGGAAATTCCAGAAAGTGCCCGGCTTCGATCGTTTTCCGGGCCCCGCGACGGGGCGCGGCTTTAAGAACAAGGCCGTCGGCTGTCCAGCCGCCCCCACAAGGGTTGTCCGCTGAAATTCGGTGATTGATGTCCGATCATGCAAAGCCCAGTGTTTTTCACGTTTTTGACATCTAAATCTTTGTTTTCAAGAGTGCGAATATGATGACCGGGCTCATAGAATATTCTTCCATCGCGTTTTCGCCTCAGCGAAACGCTTTGTTTTTTAAGGACCCAAAACGAAAAGTCGGCTTCAACACCATTGCAGGGCCGCAGGGCGGTGTTCAATGGTATATAGTTCCACATATCTCACCAACCACAACCACAACCCAAAACCCAGCGCGAGGGCGGGTGCACTTACCATGTCATGGGTGCATGTGAGCAACATGCGCGTGGGCGGGTGTGCTTACCATTTGCCAAGCATGGGTGCATGTGAGCGACATGCGCGTGGGCGCGTGTGCATACCATGTGCCAGGCATGGGTGCATGTAAGCGACATGCGCGTGGCAGGCGTGGCGGCTATCTGAGAATGTGACATCAAAAGGGATGCGAAAGCCTTCGTGGACCAAACGTGGAGCTGCGATTTGTTGCCCGCGTGGCAGGCGTGGGAGATTGTTAAGAGTGCAACATCAAAAGTGCGCCTGCTGGGGGGCGGCTGAACAGCCGAGTGCCTAAGAACAACAACAAACGGGTCCTCCTTTCGCGCGGGTTGCCCCTTTTGCGGTTCGGGCCCCTGATGCCTGCTCATGTGCTTCTGACTTGGGTTCAACATATTCACTTGCCAGGCGAATTGCTGTACCTCACTTCATGAGACTGGCCAAAAAAGTTCACACTTCTGGTTGTGCCACAAAAATGGTCTCCGCAAAAAGAATCAAGCTCAGAAACTAGGGATATCCCAAGGGTGAACGTGGACGATGGCTCGGACATGTGCCATTCACCTTTCAATTGTAATTCACAAGCCAGAAAGGACTCCCAAGTACCCCACCTTCATTACAAGCTCGTATTACCTTTTGCCCGCTCACTACACGTTGCAACCAGAATGATTATATATGTTCAAAGAGCTCTTTTCGGTGGTGACCTTGTGCCTTTTTGTGGTGCTGAACACGCGGTTGACTGGTGAAGGGTCTGGATGTTCGGGGCGTGGACATCGTGGAACAAATCCCCGTCCCTAAGGGGGGGGGGGAGTGGGGGACCTCAAAAATTGCAATTTCTCCCTCTTCTTTTTTTTTGGGGGGGGGAGCCCTTGGAAAATTACAATTGTTGGGGGGTAAGATTGTGGAACATGCATCTCTTGTGCGACTCTCTCAATCGCACGTGTCACCAAAACGGGGCGGCACCAAAACGCGCTTCGCAGGAGTCAAAACCTGAAAGCTTTGTGGGTCTGAATTTCATGGGCCAAAAGGGGCTGAAGAATGATTGACACCTTCCCTAACTGAAATCTGGAGGGTGCTCGTAACTGAATCCCGCTAAACCTTTCCCTTGTCTAAAGCAAGTACAACCCCCCAGAGCAACATGGAAGCTCCCAGGACCCCTTTGGAAGACTTGGTTCCATTTACGGAAGACTTCTGGGAGCTTCCATGTTCGTCTGCGCGAGTGTAAACCCTTGTCCAACCTGTTCAACCGTCACCTTCATTTTTCGGAGGCTCTTCCGAAAACGCCGCCGCGCCAAGTCACGCAGCGTCGAGCTCGAAAAGCACAGGGCATGGATTGCACCGCGCATGTCGAGCTAGACACCAGACCGAGTTCATTTGAACCTCACCTAAAGACCTGACAAGCCTGGACCCTGCTGAAAGCTTAACTTTTAGTGGGTTAAATGGAAACCCCCACTAGACCCGCAAAAAGCTAAAAGCCAAGGGGATGGCTGGGAACCACCAAGAAGACTTGTTGGCTTTGGCAATATATGGGAATATCCCTGAACCAACCTGAAAGGTGTGGGCTGTGCGAAAGCCATGCCCTGTGCTCAAGCCGTCCGGCTTGACGCCTTCGCGTTCTAGGCAAATAGCTCTTGGCACTGAGCTGGTTGCAAGGCCGCTTGTTGCAAACTAACCCGTTGGCCTCCCGTGCAATGAACCAAACACGATTTCATGCACAAGGAAGCAAGCAGACAAGCAGGCAAGCAGGCAAGCAAAACAAAACGAAGCAAAACAAAGCAAACACATCACGAAGCAAAGCAAAGCAAAGCAAAACAAAACGAAGCAAAGCAGAAGCCGGGCGCAAGGCCAAGCACGTTGTCTGCTTCACTTCATCTGCGACAGAACAAAAGCAACGTGACACTTCTGATAAAACATGGGGCCCGGGGCATCTCGATCGCCCCCCCCCCCCCCGCTTCGGTGGAGACTGGGTTCGTACACTGGGAAACCCATGGGTGCCTTCGAAAAGAGACAGCAGTACCTTGTGATACAAGGTCAATCCTAGAGTTGGCCCGACAACCAGATGGAGAGCCTCATAATATGCTTCACTTGGTCAGTGATACATAAATCCAACTCGAAGAGTATCCGTCAGCAACGCCACAAAGCATGCTCAGTCTCTGTTTGTCCGGAACAAATGTGCTTAGATCAAGAAAGGAAAGGCTACCGCACACATGGGGCTGGAAACAAAAGGACCGATTCACCCTATTGCATCGGCAGCCGCAGGCCCTAGAATCGAACGATAAACCTGCCACTACCACCGGGTTTTCACAAAAGGCAGGGTTCAAAACTTGCAATCCCAAACGATGGATGTTAGCAAACAAAATTTTATTCATACCCTAAACTGTTCTTGGCGTTTCACTCCGGCCGTTCATCGGTATAATCCCTGCAGGCCAACATGACCACACCCCCCTCCCGAAACAAATTCATCGTTTCTTGGCAGAATCGAATTTGAAAGGACCTCCTTTTGCCTTCTAGATCAAACAAGCAGCATACCCACCGCCTATGGATTCCTCTCTGTCTGGCCCCAGCTCGCCGTGATCTTCTGCCGTCTGAATTTTGCGGCACGGCGCCCGAGCAATTCATCCAGCGAAGGACGTTTTTCGGCCAGGCGGCTGACCCCCCTCTCTTGGCCAGACGGATCCAACCCGCAACAATTCGCTTCAAAACAACAAATCACGACACCCAACGAGGCGAGTGAAGTGTGTCCAACTTATTTCCTAGGCGCTGGCCCTTCTGGCAACTCGGTGTCGCCGATTGGAAAGTCTTTGAGGTCACACATCGATCGCGAATCTGAGAGCCACGAGCCCGTTAGCTCGGGTTCTCCATTGGGAGCGCCCACACACACACACAAAATGGGGGCCGTTTCCCTCGAGCAAGGCACACCCAAAATACAGTGGGCTCGTTGCTCGAGGAACCATTGACCAGTGCATCGGGGTCTGGAAAACAAAACAGAACATTATCGGAAGTGAATTCGCGCACATGCATGCTGTGGCCCTTTAACTAACTTTGAACATGACCCGCATGAGGGCGGCCCAACACTGGGGAGACACCTTCTGGGTCGATTTTTAAGGGAAGCTAATAGGAAACCAAATGAAGATTGGGTTTCACACAAAAGCCGACAGACCAACCTCCCGGATGGGGTCCACTCGGTAGGCCAAGCCCACTTCGGGGGAAAAACGTACCCTCGCTGGCATTCAAAGGCTCCTCTCACTCGGCCTCACTCGGCCGGCGCCCGAGCACAGCGTGCCTGTCGTGAGGCATGCTCATCTTGCTCTCGGTAGGCGAGCCGCCGCGAGGCGAGGACGAGGACCAAAGTGCCGACCCCCATATTTGCAACATGCTGGTTCGATGATATATGGCTGTGGGTCAAAACCCTGTGCCCCTGGTGAACATCAAAATAGGTGGTACATGGGGGTTCATCCGCCCCAAAATGGAGGCATACAACCCATGGCGATATCTAAGGGATTCATGCTGGGGAAAGGGAAGTAAGCGCCATGTTCGATGTCCGCTTTGGGCTTTGACCAGCGCGCTCCGATTCCTGTCCTCGATGCCCACAGCTATCCCCACGCTTCCTGGCCGAACACTCTCGATGCGGAAGATGTTTTTTCGATTTCGCGAGTGCATGTGAACGCCGTGCTTCAGCTCATGCGCAACTCAAAGGAAGGACACGGGCCTATGGGCCTATGGGCCTATGGGCCTGGGGGTTATCGGGTATCACCAAGTTTCTATGTGCCGTTCCAGCCAGTTGGGCCCGTAGGTGTGATACGCACGCCCATGAGATTGACCGCATGGCCGTAAAAGATTCCAGGGTTTTACGGCAAACACAGAGTATGTATACAAAATCAGGTTAATTCGGATGAAGCCGCAAGAGAAAACACAAATCAGGGATGGCTCCCACTTTTCAAAAGGACGAAATTCATTTGTTGAGACATTCCTCTGTTTCGGGTCCAGAGTGTGAAGATTAGAACACGCAAGCTGAAGAACGGAGTGTCAAAAGGAAGCCTCCCTTGCTATGGGCGGTTCGGGCTGGAACCCCCTGGTTCTTGTAGAAGGTACATGGGAAACCCCTCAACCACCAAACCACGCTCCAAACTACCAATTGGAAGGAAGCTGATGAATGGAACCAGCTGGCTTGAGTCCTGGAGGTCCCTGCAGCGGCGTGGATTCATCCAAGTCGAAAGTTGGCTGCTTCCTACCACAATATCCCCATCAAGTGTAAGACCCAGCATGAACCAGACACTGGTAGAAAATCCTAAGTTTTCAAAACCACATGCAAGGAATAGAAATTCATTCGCAAATCATGGCATCATCTGGCGCCGGTTGGAATAGCAGGAAAACAATTTCATCCTACTACGTGAATACGTTCGGGATTCTAAACCTCCCGGACGCTTGCCTCGGTGTCATCCAGCCGCCGAGTCAGGACTCTGCTCAAGTCCACCCGGCCTCAAGCTGATCGGAACAGAAAACCAGCGCGAGTAGTTGAACAAGGACCGCGCAAATCATCCATTTCGTAGACTGGTCAAAGCTTTGTTTGTTTGCTACTAAAACCTTGTTTTTTGCAAAAGTAAAACGCCTAAACACTCGGGGAGGATCAGCCCCTTTACATGGAATCTTCTCCATTGCATGGAAATCCCGGGGTTGGGTGTTCTTTTCAATGTGATCCGGGCTTAACCTTTGTCAGCATCGATTGATTGCATGCTTGCCCTGGGTATCCGTTGCCATTGTTCCGGTAGACATGGTTAAACCATAACTATATAACCAGGGTAGCTAGACCTCACAAGAGCAGCTAGATTCCCCCTCCATTAGGCCAGGTCCCAAGAGTACACTTCGGCTAAACGAAACCACCTGTACCAGCTGCTTGAAAAAGGTTCTACAAGTGCCAGGTATTTTTGCGGTGTATCCTTTCAGGGACCCTGTTGGGCTTGAGCGGCGCAGGGCCCGGATGCTTGCAACGACCATTGGCCATGGATGTCCACTTTGCCCAACTCTTTTGCTTTAAAAGCCATGGGAGCTGCACCAGTGTTGGAACCCAGAAAGGCAAGCTATTTGGGGCCCGGCAAAATGGCGAGCCGGGAGCCACATCTACGCACTCCGCGAAACGAAGCGCACGCACGTGCACAGGATGTTGGCGATTGCTACTGGCCTGAAGTCAGGGGTAGTCATTCAAGGGCCCAACCGATTGCCCTGAGTGTCCCAAACTTGCGAAAATCGCCAAATCTCGCCAGCAAGCCCACCAGCTTTTGCCAGGTGCCTTGGGTCGATGTTTGATACCCACTTCGGGAGTCCTTCAAAGGCAAACCAAAAGCAACCCGCCCCCTTTCGGGTGGAGTGGTTTCCCTACTTGGAGACGCCATATGGCAGTGCCTCAAAGGATGTTGGCCCCTTTGGGCAAAGGATAACCGCGATAATGGATGTCGACACCTCTTGGGTCCGAGAAGTAACCTGAAGCAAACCAAAGCGTTCAGAGGGGAAAAAACTATTGAGCATTCCCAAAGGCATTTATGCTCAGGTGAAACGGGGACCTTCTTGTGCGGCACATTTGTTCCAAACTTGGACGCCTACTGGAACCTGGGCCTTGGGCCTCCGCTCTGAAACCTGCGAAACATCCACTGTGAATAGGTCAACCCTTTGAGGAACATGCCATGTGTGTTTGTGCTTGTAGGGCATCCGTTTGGGTTAAAGAGAACCCAAAGGGCAAACCGCTTTGTGGTCAATGGCTCTTGACCTCAGGCTTCGGCTGTTCTTTGCCTTCACGCCGATCTGCCTGGGGCGAAGTCGATTCAGGAGCTTCGCTGCGGGGGTTGTTGCCTTCGGACTCCAGAGGGCCCTGATCAGGTGTGGTGTAAGGAAATGATCTGTCTTAGGGGTTCCTCTGTCTAGGGTCCTCCCGAGCAATCCGGTCCACATGAATTACATGCGATGCTTCCGTTGCCTAGTTTGCGAGTTCCCTATCATGTTGCAATGTAACTTCATTCAGGATTTATACGTTTGTGCGATGCTTTACGCGATTCCACAACAACAATGAAACACCAAATACTAAACACAACAGCAGTAATGCTGACGACCCTCACTGAATGTCAACTTGTTGCGTTTCTTGGACTTTGTCTTGGAATTAAGAGCCTGTTGGAGCTCGAATTCTTAGCATTCTGCAATGACAATGGTCTGCCAAAACACGAAGCCTCAATTCTTCTGATTACGAATGTTACGTACGAAAAGGAGGGTAGATCCCTATGAGCACCTCCGTTAAGCCCAACGTCCAAATTGGACATGGCGTAGACCGACATGATTGCATTACCTGTGCATGGGCCCGGAGAAGAAGCCCCCTCCGCTTCTAGATTCTTCCATGCAGAAAACAAACCTGGGTCACACAGCCGGAAGCGCATATTACTTCGTATCTTCCAAAGAAGCGGCTGCAATCCACGTGTCTGCTGTCTTTCTCAAGATAGGTGTGTTGTCAAGCCTCGCTTCATTTATGCCCAAGTTGCTGTCCAGCAAAACAAGCATTGCACAAAATCGACAGGGCCTTGAAAAACAACCTTGCCCAGGGCGACTCCCACGTTGACACCATTCGCCAACCGTCGCATCCAAACCATACGTCGCCTACCCGAAGCGGCCGCCCGCGCCTAAGGCTGGCGGGGGTGACTTCCAACCTTTGCGCCAAGCGCTGCTCGATGTCCTGAAGATGACGCGTTGCGGAGCCCGTGGACCTCTGGGTTTGACATGAGTCACAATCAAAGGCCGGGATTAAAATGGTCGTAAATCCCAGAACCATGTAAAGAAACGTAAAGAATTAAGAAGGCGGCCGCAGCTACTTATAGTTGGGATTGTCCCTTACTAACCTTCATCTACCCGGGTTTTCGAAAAATGGCTCACATGATGGTTTCTCCTGGTTGCCAACTAAAGCGGGGTCTGCAAGCACTGGGTGTGATGGACCCTACCTGCTGACCCGCGCGCGGGACAGCGGCAAGGCTCGCAAGGCAGTTGGAAAACCGAAGCCGAGAAGCCGAAAGCTTGGCCTTGTACGGGAAGAGGGATCCAAACACGCAGGCAGGACACGGGAGTTTTTTTAATGTTTCCTAATTCTGGGTGTGTATGTGTGAGTGTTTCTTGGCACCCCTTGCAGGTTGCTTAGGGGAACCACAGGAAACCACCCATTTTGGGCTTCTTCATTCTAAATCTTTGCATTGGCGAACACGGGTCCCTTGATGAAACTGGCTGCTGTGTTTGCTGAACATGTGTCAGCTGGAGGTACCGCAATGGTCCTCGACAACTTGCAGTCATCCTCACTCATGACAAAACGCAACAATCAACCGATAAAGAAAACGACGCGCATAAACAAACGGACCTAACCTAGGCTAACAAATCAACAAACAGACACACAACGAGCAACACGCAAGCAATGAAGCAATCAAGCAAACACACACAAATCAACACACAGACAAGAAAACAAATAAACTTGCAAACAAAGAAACAAAGAACACAGCAACCGAACGAAAACCGATCAAACCATGAAAACAAAGAGCATACACACGACAAGCAAGGCAACACACGCAAACAAAAAGGAGAAGCCATCAAGGAAGCAAGCAGGCAGGCAGGCAAGCAAGCAAGCAAGAGCGAAAACAGACAAACAAACAAATAGACAAACAAGCAAGGCAACACACAAGCAACCAACCAAAACACTCGCAAGCAAACAGAAGCATTCAAACAGGAATGCACCCAAAACAACGACACAAAGAAACGATGAACAGCGGAAAACAAAGGGCAAGCAAAGAACAAAAAAGCCAGCCAGCATGTAAGCAAACAAACAAGCTCACATGAATACGCAAACAAACATGCACACAACAAAACAAACAAACAAACAAGCACGCAAGCAAGCAAGCAAACAAACAAACAAACAAACAAACAAGCAATCGCATAAACCAACAAACAGCAAACAAAACACAAACATACATTCGCAAACAAATATAAAGCAAACGAACACACGCACACGCGTCAAACACAATCAAGCAAAACACATTCAATCAAACAAACAAACACATGAATAAACAAACAAACAAACAGACAGACAGACAAACAAACAAACAAACAAACAAACAAGCAAGCAACCAACCAAGCAAGCACCAACCAACCAACCAACCAACCAACCAACCAACCAACCAACCAACCAACCAACCAACCAACCAACCAACCAACCAACCAACCAACCAACCAACCAACCAACCAACCAACAAGCCCAGCAAGCCAACAAAGCAAGTAAGAGCACAAGCAATGAAGCAAAGAAACATGTTGGTAGGATGGGATATATTAAGCATCCATAAAACTCGGCCAAAGGAACAAAGACTGGGATCCCATCATATCTTAAGGCTCAATCCCACATGAAGCAAGCAAGCCAAGAGTAAATGAGCCTGGCGTCAAGCTTTCGATGAACTAGATATTGCATCGTAACTATCATACAAAGTGGAATAGTCTGACAGAATGTTGGTGCCAACTGGCACAATCCAGTGTGGTTGCGCCGCTGGCAGCTGAATCGTCTCAACGCTTCCCGGGGTGTCCAACATGCGGCACCCCGTTATACGGTCTTGAAAGGGAAACAAAAGGGCTTGCCAGATGCTGACATATCACACCGTCTTTTACCCGTATTTTGCGAAAGCGCGCAACCTCTACTTCCTCAATTTCAGGCAACGGCTCTCAGCAGAAGGACAGAATTCGTTTTCTTGAATCATATCAGCATTCCTGCAAGTCAAACCGCTTGGTTCCATAGTCCGAAAGAGAATCTGACAAGAAGTTGGTGGACATGAATCCTTGCGGATGTCCACCAAAGGATCCCTAAACAAAACAAGACACATCCGAAAGACTGCCATTTAATTTTGAGCTTTCGGCATCCAACCTGAAACTGGGGTCCCAAAGTATTTGGCTCCGAGCTACTTTGGTTCTACATCCAGCGCACCCCCGGGGATGGACACAATCCACGTCACGAACCAGTTGCGATGGATGAAACCCGATCTGAATGCTGGGAAAATCACTGGTGCACAAACATTTGCGTGCTTTGCTTCCTGAGGGTATATACCCGTTTTAGTGTGGGCACACATTTTGGGGTACCCCTATGTTAACACACACTCTTGTCCGTCTACAGTATATCCTATGCAACATGCGCCCACTGCGCGCGTACGCACTGTCTAGGGCTCACACTGTCCGCGGCTGCGGCTGGAAGGACGACCTCGGGGCATCAGTTGCTTCCCGGCTGATGCACCGATTTATAGCTGGACATGAACTAAACTGTTCACAATGGAGGGTTGGCCAATCCATTTTTTTCCATAATCCCTATGGGAAAGCCACTACAAAGCGGACCCTTGCGTAACCCAAGGTAAGCATAAAGGATTACCTTTCAACAGCCCAGACTATGAGGCCCGTCTCTGGTTACACATGACTTTCCATTTGCTCAACAAGGGAAACCATGGAAAGACTAACCACCCCCTTCATGGATGCAGGCCTCCCTCCCGATACAGTAAGTAGGGAGTGGGAGACAATGCAAAAAGGTACTTGTGACAAGAGAGTAATTACCTAAACCTTGCTTGTTTTCGGTTCAGCAGTTGAAAGGTATCTGTCTTGCCCGAGAGGATTGAACACAAAGTTGACAGGGGTTCAAGAGGACGGTTGCCTGAGGTGCTTTTCGGATCTTTGCCTTGGAAGAACAGCAGCGCGAAACTTCCGAACCTCAAAGAACGAAATTCTGCAAGATGTCCGGCCTTGCTTGGAGGAACATGCGGGTGGTTTTGCTGGCATCATCCGTCTGCAACGTGTCAAGTACCGCGAATTCCGTGGTTCTTGCAGCCTGTCAACTAATAACCCGCCCGGAACAGCTGGCCACCTGAGAGTCAGTTTGGACAGGCAATCGGGTAGCCCCAGTGTCCATTCGTAAACAGCTTGCAAGGCTGCTCCCAACTCGGGAATGGGAAGATGCATGGAAGCGCGTGCGTCTAGGTCGGGGTTGATCACAAGTCCTTTGCCTTCACTTGCGAAGTATTGTCTTCACTTGCGAAGCATTGTGGTGGGGAGTTATCAGTGCACCAGCGAGGATTCCCTTTCAGCATGATTGCATAATTCGCTCATGTTCTTCGATCATGTCTTGCACGTGGAAAGGGAACCGGCATAAATGTGTGTTGCTGCGATCCCGGAATAGCAAGACGTTGCAGAAATTCCAGGATGATGGAAAACATGTGCTGGGCGAACATCGGGAAGACAACAACATGTAAGATTGGACAAATTCAAGAATCTGAGACAACAAACCAACTGGGCAATACTAAGTTACTAAGCCTTGAATCGAACTTCATCCAATTTTCACTTTTTTCTACCTGCTCAAATGCCTCACCAATCCTAACCCTGACAGCTGAACGTCCGATTTCAAGAACCAGCATACAATAAGAAATGAACATATGTATACATAGACACACCTACTTGTACCCCATGGATCGTTCTGGTGCCTCACCATTTGATGCTTGACACCTGGTCAGTGCACCAATTTTGCTTTACGCAAGATGAACTATTTGGCCGATTTAAGGTGAGTCTCTCTTGGTAGCGGTGATGATTCATGGGAACCATAGGCAACCCTGAAACACGCTAGCTGTAGAAATCAGCACCCGAGAAGTGCTCGACAAAGCAAACTATTTGGAGGCTGGTATTGCGAGACACCCAGAAGACGGTTGTCCAGTTGCACGGAAACCATATCAACGCCTGCGAGGTGACCTAAGCACAACACAACCAGGGTAGGGGTAATCTTTGGATTCATGACTTGGACTGGGTCGGCCTTTCCAACGACATGTGACTATGTGGCTCCTCTCTCAAACACCCATGTTTTACCAATTGGCAAGGACATACAACAAATCGATATCCTTTGATCACCCCGATGAGAACGAATACTCGGAATACGACTACGAACATGCGCACAAGCGGCAACCTCAATGCAACCCGGGCTGATTTCTCCGCTGCAGCATCCAAACAAGCTTGCAACAGCCTGAGCGTGAATATATATATATATATATATAATATGTATCTATATCTATATATATATATATATCATGTGGCTGAGCCAGCACTGCAGAACAGCCACCAAACACAAGTCAGATTTTCTGTATTGTCAAACACTAACCACTGCTCGAAAACCTGGCATAAGTGTAACGGGATCACTTCCTCCCAGAGTCCTCAAAAAGGAAAACACTAAGAAAGCGACAGCTTCTCAAGACTGAGAACCCGACAGGTTTAGAACAAACAATAACACAAGGCTGGAAAACCCACGGGTGACAAGGTCTATTCATGCGGGCGTGCCATTTCTTGGGGCTACATTTCTGTTCGCGTAGGGACATCGAAAGGAACACCGAACCAATCCTATCTTAGGGGGTCCGAATCCGAAAATTTTGCGACGTACCAGTGAGGTGTCTCAAAAAATACTTGGCTTTCCATTTGTATCCCCTGTAGAACCACCCAACAAGTGGTACCCCCCGAACTAAAAATCCACGTTAAAACCGGCCAAAAAGGGGCACTGCCCTTTTGAGACTACCAAAAAAACAACTAATTACCCCCCCCCCCCCCCACCCCAAACAAAACTCCCCTGCAAGACCACCCAAGAATGGCTTAAAAAAAAATCCCCAAAAAAGAGAGAGAGAGAGAGAGAGAGAACAAACTCACCTTTAAGACCACCTGAAAAAAACGGGTAGAAAAAACAACCCCTCCCCCCCAACAAAACCGCCCCCTTCAAGAGTTCCACCGAAAAGCTTCCCCAAAAAGCTCCCACCAAATCACCCCATCTTGGCGAGCATCTCCGATGCCGTGGGCTCCATGGGCATCACCGAGCGGGCCGAAACCGGTGGCTCCTGACGCGGCGCGCGGTTTTGGGCGCACCGCGTCGGCCGGTTCTGGGCGGTTTTGGGCGCCCAGGTGGGTTCCAAGCAATTTGGAGGCTTGGCGCGAAGTGGTAGAAACCCAGCCCCAATTTTAGATGGTTCTTTGATGTTTTTCTTTTTTTTCAAACCGATTTCGGAGGGCTCTCCAGTCGCTTTTGATGGTTCCCCTTTGTGCCGGTTCTATTGGACTGCCAACACATGCCCTCATTTTGGTGGTTCTTTGGTCTTTGGTTGACTTCAAGGATTTGTCCGGCATAGATTTTGGTCTTTCTGGTTCGATAGGCAGGGAAGAAATGGAATGACCCCAGAAGCCATCCAATTTGCCCTGCATTCGTTTCAACCATCCTTCTTTGATCAAAAACCAGTGGTTTTCACTAGATCTTTGGGGAAGGTACCCCAAGATGTTTGGGTGGCTTTGGGTAGGGAATGACCCTGTTTCCGGGTGTGGCGATAGTTGCAGTTTCAGTTTTTCTTACATCTGTTTTTCCCCTAGCCGATGAATCAGGTCTTTCTCTCACTGTTTGGTTTCTACCAGTGAGGTCATAAATCCTTTTGAGGGAATGACTTTGATTCCGGGTGTTGGGAATGAACAAACTTTTTGGGGATTCCCGAAACAAGGAAACCAACAAATTGGCTGGCTTATGGGGGGGCTTTCCATTTCTCATTCCCTGCTGAGAACCGGCAAGACAAAAACCCATGCAGGACAAATCCTGGAAGTCAACCAAAGAACCATCAAAACTAGGGCATGTTTTGGCTGTTCCAATTTCCTGAGATCCCTGGAGCTGGCTTCTTAAGAAGCGACTGGAGAACAGAGTTTACAGGATTTTGACCCCTTGGCAAATCTCCAATAGAACCGGTACACAGGGGTGCTGTTGCAGTTAGTGGGCTGCAAGCTTCTGATACAACCCTTCCGTTGTGATGGTGCTTGGTTCCGAATACATGAATCAGAAACATAAACTCACATGTAATCCAACACACGATCGATCCCAGAGGACGTTGCAGATAGGCGGTGACCAGTGGCTACATTAGTGCTTCAACGAAACACACGAAACAAACACTTTAAGCATTCTCTTCATGGTATATTGCAGTGATAGGACCTTGCATGGTCCTTTGCAATGCTGGGATTAGAGGCTTTGAATCACAATGCAAGTCAGGTGGTACATCTGTTGCTTGCTTCACCTGGGGCTTGGCCAACAGTCAAGCCTGGGAATGGCTGTCCTGCCGCAGCGGTGTCAGGGACGTCTCAGTGGGGTGCTGCGCTAAGGAAACGGGTGAGGCAGGTCCCGCGCTGAGCGAAGTAGCCACTTTGCGCACAGAGGCGCTTGCTGCTGCACTCGGAGCCACGCTCGCGGCCGCGCTCGGTGCCGCGCTCGCGGCGGCGCTTGGCGCCACGCTGGCCGCGGCGCTCGGTGCCGCGCTGGCCGCGGCGCTTGGTGCCGCGCTCGCTGCACCGCTTGGTGCTGCGCTTGGGGCCCTTGGAGAGGCACTGGGCACGCCTGGCGCACGATACTTGAGGCTTCACGGAGAACACACACACACAAACGCACATGCAACATCTGGAGATCATATAGCGAATATCGGTATTCACCTTTGGAAAAAAAGGCGTTGTCTTGGGCAGAATCAGGCAATGTTGAATTCAGCACCAATTCGCTGTGTGGAAACCCAGTAACTGGAACCTTGCTGGCAGCATCAAGTCGGGATTCATTCTGCAAAGTTGGCTGTGTGAGGCTGGCGATTTTACCGGAAGAACCCTTCGCAATGCTTTCGGGGAAAAAACACAAAACAAAAGCGCTCGTCAAAGAAGAAGCATTACATGCTGCCCGTAGCACGCCCTCCGTAGCCCGTAATTTATGTGAGCAACTCGCTTGGACTCTCTAGAGATGATGCCTAGCTAGGCCGGGGAAAAGAAGCCACTGAGATGTGAGAAGACGCCACTCTGAAGTCCCGGGTGACTAAGTGGCTCTGCTTGGCGCTAGATTGCCTGGTCGTGTTGTGAATGCATTGCCGTAGCTCTGTACGTAGTCCTCTTTTGCTCCTATCCAAAACTGCAAACTAACAAAGCAATGTTGCATGTCCCAGCTTCACAAGAAGACTTGCCATGTCATGTCCATCAACTTTTCAGAAGTGAGTCCAACCTTTCCAAGCATTGCTCGTGCATGCCTCCCTTTGCTACATTCGAATCTGGCCTGACTGGCCCTCAAAATGAACCGATTCACCGTCTTCGCATGACAAAAGTTGAACCGCCCGCGCAACGTGTGCATTTTGTGCGCGACGCAACCGGCCACCTTGAGCACAAGCCGGGCAAAAGACGGAAGGCCAAGGTCCATTTTCCGAAATGGTTGTCTCAAAATACAGGCACCCCGAAAATGAATGGTTGCCTTTTCGAACCATGCAACAAAAGTACCCTGCAAAAAGGACACACCCAAACGTGGTATCCGAGCCACAATTCTGAAGCTCAAGTTGTGATCGCCTCAAACAAGCATGCAACTTGCAATTTACAATTCGAGCATGTTGTTGACAGGAGGAACTGCCCAATCAGCCAATGAGAGTAGGATTTTTGCGCTGCGATCGAAATAAGCGATGATTTGGAATCAATGGCATTGTAAACAGCGCACATTGTGAAGCTACTTGGATGAATACGGGCAATTTTTGCCTGCGTGTGTTCTTGGATCATCAACACGTTGAGGTCAAGAGTGAATTGCTTGGGGCACCAAAATGATTCACACATCATCTCCCAATGATTCGGCTATCTTCGGATGGCTGCGCATGGAGTTTGTGCCCCGGCCACGAGACATTTTCAAGAACTGCCTGCGGGGGACAACCCCCAAGCGCCCTCTTGCGGGCGGTTGTCATACAAACAGAAAGGATTGCGGCTTTGTTTCCCTGTTGATGCCGCGATACAATGACAGGACACCCAGAATGATGGGGCCTCGAGTTTTATTACAGAACTTCTGACTCTGAGATTGTACAATGGGTCTTTCAGGATTGAAATCTGTGTCCCGCCCCCAAAGCATTCTCAGAAGCATGTCATGGAGTCCAGGTTCAAAATGGTTCCAAGGTGTGTCACACCGTGTTCAAAGTATCATTCCAAAGCTTGGGGGGAAAAAAACGCTATGGCTTGAAATTGTAGTATGGTCTTATCTTTTCGGAACCCGCACGGATGTATTGTCCTTCCACAGGGGTGCCTGCCCAAGGGCACCCATGATGCACAGAGCTTGGGAAACCAAAATAAACCATGGGGTCCAAATGGTTGGACACACAAAGCGAATTGTTTTCGCACTTGTCCATGAGCTATAGCTGCTGGATCTACTCAAACTGTCAAACTTGGACCCGGCGATGGCTACTGCGCTCAAGAGTCCTTTTACGTTCTGGTGCTATTCTCTAAAAACACATTGTGAAAGATCAATGCATTCTTTCAACCCTTGGATGAGTGTCTTCTTTGCAGGTCTCCTCCTTGAGGTTGGTGTGAAAGGACAACTACCATTTGTTTGACATATTATGTGGCACTCAGCCATGCGTCAGCCCAAAGGACCCAGAAACAAAAAAAGGGCTTCGCCTTTTGGACCCACGCAACCAACGAATCGCCGATTCTATTTTTTTAGCCAAAAGCTGAAAATGGTGAGCTTCATGGGGCCCCCGACTTTCTAATGAGCCAAACTGGTGCAAGGGCGGGGGGTCGGACCCCAAAAATGAGCTTCACGAATCTTGCCCACCCTCAGGCCTCCGCTGCCGTTGTCGGGGCTTGGCATGGGTGTCTCAGGGCGAGCGCGCGAGCGCAGAAAAGGGGGGGGGGGGGGCGGGGGGCTTCGCCAAAAGGAAGGCGTTCATCTTCCAAAACCCTTTGATCCTGGGATTCCATGATTGGGGGTAGATTGTTTTTCTTTTTTTTTTTTTTTAAGAAGGGAAACCAAGAGGAAAAACACCAAATGAACCGGCCCTAGGTGCCCCCCATTGTTCTCGATGCTTTTTTGATCAACGACTTCTCCTGGATTCTATTCCAACGCTCCCCATTGTTCTTGCTCCTAGCTTCTAATCAAATTTCTAGGTATCCTCATTGTAGTGAATGATTATTGACGACAGTTGCGTAAAAAAGTGCCCTGTCCTTTGTTGATTCCTTCCTTCAAGTACTTCTTTCACAGCCAGGGGCTGCCATCTCGGAACTTTCGCTCATGTTGTGTCTGCTGTTCGAGTTGCGCCTTTCGCACAGTGGGCAGTTTCTTCGGTCACAATGGAAGGCGCTGAAAGCAGGAAGCGTTTCCGGGGACAGCAAACACTCCGGTTCCAAGGCATAAGAAAATGGGGAAAAATACGCTCCTGGTCTTTGTGGGTTTTTATTTGGTGGGGATGACCCACCCCCCCAAAAAAAAAGCAGACTGGAATATTGATCAAACCTCATGTCGCAAGGCAGGAAGACAGGACAGGGTGTTAAGTGTGCAAGGCTGTGGTTTGCCAGTATCATTGATGCTCCAAGAGCATGCTTTATCTTGTGCGCAGAGGCAACAGCGTTTGCCTGCAAGCGTTGCAGGAGCAACATCACTACACTTCTTGGCTTGAGGATAAGAATCTGAACTCATAAGCCCCGTATGATTTGGGGCTAACCGCGGAGACAAATGAGCGACACACCCGCTGTTGAAGCATGGATCCACCTGCTCAAAGGTATTTCAAAAAGCAGCAAATCCTCATACACACGCACATAGACAAGCATTCAATCTCTTCACTGGGCTCCCCAGCATGCACCTCAACCTCCACATCTGAGGTCAACGTGAGAGTGCCCTGCGCAAGAAACACGCCTGCTTTCCCGCGGATTTGCGACGTCGGTCCTTGAGCCAATTCCCTCTTGATGGCTCCCAAGATGACCCTAGCGATTGATCAAGGGGTTCGGGTTCTCCTTGGAACAAGCCAATCCTGGCTAGCGAGGTCATTCATCAAATGTTGAAATTGCCCACACCCACGGCTTGGTACGGCAACACCAACAATCGATTATCATCAACCTGGACACACCTCCAAACCCTCTTCCAAATCCAGAGGAAGGCTCCCAAATTGAGAAAATTGCATGCCCAGCCTAGCACCCTCAGGGTTGCATGACAACAGCTTTTCATAAAGCAACAAGCGCACCCGCCGAAGGCCGGTGAGTCGTTTGGCAGTCTGAAGGCGGTTGAAATCAACCTTTGTAGCTCCGTGTGATTGGTCTCATTGCCAAGTTTAACCAAGCCAACTTTCCTGCATAGTGGCTTGTGCGGAACTTGTTCAAGATGATGGGCAATTCGCATGGGTGTCACAATGCTTCCAATGTTGAAAATTATGAACTCTATGGACATGTGCCTCTTCTTTTGTCATGCTTGTTTCATGCCTCGGCATACAAAGCAAAAGACCCTTTTTGGGTGGGGGTCAGGAGCCCTGTCACAAAGAAGCAAGCTCTTTGGTGAGGTGTAACCAACTCCTAGTTCTCTTGGGTTTTGCCACCCCTATGACTTCTTGGCTTCATGGACTTGATATTCAATCTTCGGATCCAAACACAGGAGTTACTCATAGTCCCCCAGGAACTCATCTGATGATCATCTAGTGATCTCATCGCGCGGGAAACATTTGACAACTTACTAGCAAGGACAGTCGGTTCAGGTACTGCATAACTGGCACTTCCTATGGAAGCTGAACTCTTAGAAGTTGACTCTAACAGCTTCAATCAATGCTTGAGTCACTCGAACGCTTCCTTGCCCACTAAAGGGCGACTGCGATCTCAAAATTGCCCAGTCCCAAGCTCACGGCTCAAGAGGGCATCGGGCCTGGAACTTGCAACCCCCGCAAGCCCATGCGGTTGGGAGCCCAGCAACCAGAGTTGATGGACCACTGTTTTGGGGGGGTGTTGAAGAACCCCTCATGCTACCGCGCGCTGAATCGATTCGCGTGGAGCCCAGGATTGACGCAGAATTTGGTACAACCAACTGAACAAACAGAAAACATGCACGCTGACGGCAAACGCGCTGGCAACAAGCAAGATCAATATGCTGACCAGGAAGCCAGAATTTGTAAACCAAAAGGTCGATCTGCTCCAGGCAGGGACTCTTGGTTCATATGTGTTGGTGTCCTAATTCAGAGACCCCTGCTCTATGGAGTCGAGAGGACAGCTTAAAAGAAACAACCCGCTTTGAGGGCCCCTAATTTTCTGAAACACCCCCCAAATGGAAAACTCCCGGCACCAGCTGGCTCCAAGACACCTGAATGCCCTGCATCTGCTGCATCTGCGCCTGACGGCAAACTAAAAACATGCGCGGGGAGCTCAACGCTGGCTGCCTGGAGCTCAATTCTCAGGAACGCCTGACCTTTGGACCCACTTCCTGGATCTTCCCGCAGCCAATTTCAAGACATTCCGCTGCCAAATCCCTTGCTTTCCGAAACGTCTATGGGGTTCATTCTCCACAAACGCCGCCCACAAAGACCAGCCGTGCTGACACATAGTTCCAATACAGGTGTAAGGGCTAAATATGTAAAGGGTCTGGATCTTCCAGAGCTACACTTAATGATTTCCATGGGAAACTCTAAAGTTTGCATCTCCAGCCCTTTCAGGAAAGGGCGTCCTTTCTTTGGCAGTTGTAGGGAAGCATAAAAGTTTAACAAACCCTGGAGTTCTAAGGCATTCGGCTTGCTGGCTAGTAGGAATCCGGTTTTTGAGAAAAACCGATGGACCTGAAGGGAATCTTGATGTGTCTTTTTTTGGAGTTCCCCCTTTTTGTGTGGGTTTTCTAAAGGGAGCCCACAAGGAAAACACACAATTTTGGGGTCCCGGAAAAAAAAAACGACCAGGAAAACACACACACACACACACACATTTGCTGGGGGGTCCCGGAACAAAACGACCAGGAAAACACACATATTTTATTATTATTATTATTATTTTGGGGGGGTCCCCTAAAAAAAAGAGACGCCCCCTGGTTCAGCTCACCAGGTTCAGCCATCGCCACTCGCGCCTCCGCGGCGTCGCGCCGGCCCGCGGTGATGGCCAGCTTCGTCTCGAAGTGCTGCAGCCTCACGCCGCGGAACGCAAGCGGAGCGGAGTCGGGGAACGCAGAACAACTTGGTGCCATCGCCAGGAATGGGGGGGGCCTCAGGGGGGGAGGTTGGAATGACCCCGAGACAAAATCCGTCCAACTGGCGTTTTTCTTTTTAGATGAGGGGAACCCATGCATGCATTTTCCCTCATGTACGACTGAGCACCAGCAAGTCAAGCCTACCACGAATTGCGCTCTGGCTGGCAAAAAAACAGGCATTGTAGGGGCTGGGGGAGAGGGGGGGGGGTTGAGTCACAGGGCTCTGGGGGGAGTTACGCTTCTGTTTAAGCCCTTAAGGCCGTTTTTACAAGGGCGTATGTGGGCTCCCAGCCCCCGTGAAGCCTATGAAGTCCCCGTGCTGAGGTGCGAGCCACTGCCCGCAAACAGTTCCCTTGACCAAGCGTCCTTTGTGTTTGTTTGCTGTTTGTTTGCAGGCGCCAAAAAGACGAATTTGTGACATAGTGTATGGCGGACCGTTCGTGGCTACTGATGGATGGATGGATGGATGGATGGATGGATGGATGGATGGATGGATGGATGGATGGATGGATGGATGGATGGATGGATGGATGGATGGATGGGATGGATGGATGGATGGATGGATGGATGGATGGATGGATGGATGGATGGATGGATGGATGGATGGATGGATGGATGGATGGATGGATGGATGGATGGATGCATGGATGCATGCATGCATGCATGGATGCCCCAGGACTTGTGTAACCCTCAGGCACTTGACTTGACGTCGCTTTCTTCAGCACTTGCGCCACAAGGTGACTGCGGTTGGCAATTGCAAGCTCAAGTTGGGTTGCCCTAGATTGACTCTAGAAACGCAGGGGGCCTGAATCATTCCGTCGCCGGGTCCAACAGAAGGTATATGGCTGCCGGACAGACCTGACCCAGATTCTCCGGGATATCAAAGCAATTCCCTGCTCGCCAACAAAAATAAACCCAACCTTCCCGATGGGATACTGAAAAGAAAGATTCGACACTAACGTGTTTGTCCAAAGAGACATGGCTTCACCATCCTGAGATTGTGGAAAACTATGCCCGTCCGTTGCCCGTTGGTTGATGAATAAGAAGGGGTGTCACCCCAGAGAGAAGTTGAAAAGCAACTCCTGCAACGGCCCTTCATGTCTTGACCGCACGGAAAGCAATCAACCCATTAATCGCGGGTTCAACAACGAATATCATATTGCTACGAATGCTAATAGGGAGCCACCTGAAAAGCGGTTCTTGGACATGTAAGCAAAGTTTACCAAAGGGTCCCCTGTTAGAATTCACAGCAACGTTGATGCCGCGTGAGCCCACACCGCCGACCGCGCCTCTGCTTGAAACCGGAGGCCTGCTTGAAACCCGAACAGAGGCTATTGGATCTCCAGTCTCCACGGTTGAGTTCGTTTTATCCCCCTCAGCTCGCTAGCCCTCGTGCATCACTATGCTACACCCCCCCTTGTTCTAGCCGCCCCAGTACTTGGGCTTGGGGCTATAGAATTGATTCAGCATTTCTGTCAGATGTCAACGATTCCAGTGTGACAAGGGCAAGGCTTGCAACCAGTTGCAGCGCAGCCAAAGAATCGCTCGCTGCACACGCTTTCTTGGATCCCTGAACCCATTATGGCGGCAAACACGCCAAACACTCATATGGCCATGGCTCAAAAGCCCGGTTAGCCCCCAGTGAACATCCCAATCCCCACTAAAATAGGTTCTAAAATGGGTGGTGAATTTTCAACCCCAAACTGGGATCCCAAAACGGTTTTGACCCGCAGCCATATCAATGACTTGCTGCAAACACTGTAGCTGACTTCAGCTGCGCCAGTGCCACGGGTACGCCACGAGGATTCTAAGTGGTGGATGTGAGCACAGCAATATTTCCTTCAACGTGGTATTGCGCAGGGTCGCGGTTTTTATGCCACCAACGCCTGCCGTTTGAACAAGCCTTTGGCTCATGACTTGCAGTAACCCAAAACGACCAGCATGTTCCCGTTGAACTCTGTTTGGGATATGCAATACTGATGGTTGCGAAGTCCGTTCGCAGCACTTTAAAGCGCCATGGTTGAAACCACTGTTGGTATTTACGTTGAATCTGAATCATTCCCTTGGGCTTCTCAGGTGCGAAGTGCATCCTCCTTGCGGAGGCCTCAAAGAACATGCGTCACGTGCCAGCATACGAACAGCTGTTTATGCTGTGCATGTTGTCCGCTTCAAAGCGGGTGTGCTCAAGTGTCTTAAAGCATGTCTGGATTCAGGCATGAACAACTCCCAGGACTCTTATTCTATATCTTCAATCCATTGTGCATAGCAATGCACTTCAGCTCTTGACTGCTATGAGCTTTTGATAGCGAGCACGCTGGCATTTGACACACCCATCACATTTACACTGACAAATACAGGTAAAATACAACTTTTGCTCATCAAACTGATGCTTGTACAATGCACCGTTCTTGTTTTTTGCCTCAATCCATGCATCTGTATTGCCTAATTAGATCGAAGGGCTTCAGCCCAGCTCAGCGGTTAGCCTTTGAGCTTGGAAGGGCAAAACGACGAACCGCTACTTCAAATCAAGAGTGGCCGCAAATCTGGGAGGGTCATAGCTCCCTCAAGCGATATGGTGAACCTGCCTGTCTATGGCTTTAAATTCAGAATCGGCGCAACTAGCCACCACACTTCACCAAGTCTTTTAAGCACGGAGCACGCATGAACAAAATATTGGAGCCGCTGAAAGTGCCTTCGCACATTTTGAGGGGCAGGCACCATGTGAGCGACTCTATAAACTTCCCATGAATCCCTATGTCGTATCAAGCTGCTTACGCGCGAGCTTGCGCTTTCCTTACGCGGCCCACACGGCAGTCAGCGAGCATGTTGAGCTTACGCGTGGGCGTTTTGGGCGTTTCCCCTCAAGAATTGCTCGCGAGCTCCTTTTCTCATGCAGCCGCCAGAACTGTTCAAGATGATGTGGATGACTCTGAGGAAGAAGATGACGAAGAACTACCCTCACGAGTTTCAGCGGATTGGCATTGTTGTTCTTGCTGCAAGTCAAGAAACGGGTTATGCGGCAGCGGCATCCATCGCGAGGGCAAGCGGGCAGCCCAGCTAGGCGAGCTTGCGCGAACCTTACGTGCCTGCTTACGCGAGCTTGCGCACCCGAGCCCCTTTAGTTTTCTTAGATCAGCGGTTTCAGAAGCCTTTGTTTGTCCTAGTAAAGGTTGCAACAGCACCTAGCATGAGCCCCAAGAGCTCCCAATCAAGGTTCGGCTGGTTTTGCTTTCTCATGGTGTGCACATGCGGTCTTAGACGTCTTCCTGCAGCCAAGGTCTCCGGGCGAGTTGCCAAGCTCGACTAGGTTGCAACAGCACAAGCCACCAACAAACACAGAAGCACAACTCCTCCGCGCATGCTTGCAAAGCTTGCCAAGCAATCACGAAGGAGAGCTCACGCAGGTGCTTACGCATCATGTTTCCCCAAAAAGTGCTTACGCCGGCTTACGCCGTGCAGTGCAGGGTTTCGCTTACGCGGGGCCTTGTTATGACACAACTCTTGCTTGGGATGTACGGAAGGTTTTTAGAGCTGCTCATGTGCGCAGCAGGGCCACATTCGCCAATGCACATGGCTCGCACGCACCCTTATATTGGCATGGACATTTGATATAATCGGCGCAGCCAGCTGACAAAAAAGTAAAATCATGGTATGTCTTCCTTATCGAACTTGCAGGCCCCCCCCCCCCAGTGTACATCAAAGCAATATGACACAACCATTTATCGGCACAAACGACAAGCCTCTCGCCCCAACAAAGGTGACTTGGGGTTGGCGAGTGGCGATGTCGTCCTCCGAAGCACCAACCAAGACAAATGAGCCACAATCAAAGCCCGGTATTTAAATGGTGAACCCAGAACCATGTAAAGGATCAAGAAGGACGCCGCAGCTACTTATGGCTGGGATTGGCCCTTACTAACCTTCATCTACCCGGGTCTTGATTGTGGCGCAAATTGAATTGCCAGCCACAACTCGTGTGGTCGAAACGCAGGGCTGACTGACTGAGGCGGTACCCAAGGTACAATATGGATGGCCCTGAGCCGCTGTATTTGTTTCCCAAAAGTCTAAGAGGACATGCAAGCTTTTAGTTGGTGAGGGGGTTGCATTCGGAATTGCCCTGACAAACCCTAAGACTGCTGCTCTTGAGTCTTTCTTGTGGCCTCAGGCACCCTGAGTCTGGACGTCATGATTCCTGTGAATGCTAAGGGCCCGTGCGCAAAAAAACCCAGGTATGAGTTTCAATAGTTGGGCACCCTTTTTGAGCACATCATCTACATGGGGAGCCAGGTCCTATCAAATGTGTTCCCCAATTAAAGTGTATAAACCTAGCTTGGAAACATTTGCCACGCTCCCAAGCAACAGAGTCCGGTTGCCTTCGTCAAAAAGATTCTGCCGGAGCAGAGGTTACCCTTGATGGGTTGTTTGGATTGGCGGCTTAGGGATTTGGACCCCTGGTTCTTGTAGAGGGTAAATGGGAAACAACTCCCTACCCATCCAAACCAATTGGAGGGAAGATGACCAGGACCTCTTGTGTCTATTTTTGATTGCACTCGATTTGCCCGAAGCGAAATTCTCGATCAAAAGGTCTCCCAAATCTTGAGGGTCTGGGGCTCTCTGCGCAGGATCTCGCTCCCGAAGTTTCTCGCGCGCCCACAAACCGCATGGCCTCGAACTGCTCCGCGTCATCCCGGACCTCCTTTGCGAAATCCCGGGAGTCCTGACGGACGGCCAAAGGCCGGGGATCCGTCTCAACCAGAAACATCTGAACCAAATGGGAGCGTTGAATGCGGCTGGCTTTCCGTTTTGTCGTCGGGCAACGCCGCCAACTTGCTAGGGCAGTTTTGAACAAAGCAAATCAATGACAAGCAATGGTGTGCATTCAAGATGAAACGCCACATTGGCTGGCATGATTCGACATAACCCAGCAATTCCAGTTGGCTGTGGGTCGATCTACATGTAGATTAATCTTGGACTATTCTCCAAAGGGGTCCGACACATGTCAGTTGCTCGTTTGGTTTCCCATGACTAGACCAAATGAAGCAGATCGATTCCCTTCGGGCGGCCAAGCTGGGGGAAAAGCAGGCGACTCGTTTGATGCGCGCCGTTTTGGTCAACACTGGGACTTACTCCAAACGATTGGACTATGAATACAGACCTTTTCTGGCACTCCCAAAACTCTATAGCCCCTTTTTGGAAGACAGCTCAAGTTCAAGCAGCGGCTACTTATTGCCGCAGCTCGGAGAAGGCACACATTGTGCCCACCTAACTTGCTGATTTTCAGGGACTTAACGGCAACTCCTGGCCCTTGCAGGCCGTTCCAACTCATTCCAACTGAACCAAGCTAAGTTCCTCCCCCCGGTCGCTCCGTAACAACCTGCCGAAGGATGTGGTACAAGGCTCGGTTCAGCTTCCAAAGGTCCTGGGCGCACAAGGACAGGCTCTTGACTTCCGAAAAAGTCTGGCCTGGACAAAAAATCGAGGGACTTGTGGCGGAGCTGATGTAGGGCTTGGTTTTGAAAGGGAAACACACACAGAGTGAAACCCTGTACAGTGATTTCCTCGCGGGAGTCTTTGTCGAGGTGGAGACATGTGGGTACGACAGGAGCCACCAAGAAGAGGAGGACAAGCAGGCGCTCCAACCAAAATCCGTGGGAAGACATGAACATCGCCCATCATTTACTTGAATCACCGTCTGGTAGGTGTGTCAAACTAAAGCCAAATAGCTTTCGATCATTTCTGGCCATCTCGTGGTCTTCAAGGGAAATGAAGAAACACGGTCTTTCGCCCCCCAACATTCACTTGGGTGTGGGTCAAAATTGAATCCACCAGGGAACCACAGAAGTTTTACTCATTGGTTCCATTTCATTGGTTCCGTTTTGGGTACCCTTTTTTGACCGACAGCCACTTAGACAGCCGGTATTTGCTCACAATGCCCTCACCGGCGACTGTGACCACGGAATCGAACCCGACGAAGTCACAAGCAAAATGCCTTCCGGTTGAGGGCGCCCTCTCTGCGTACCTCTTTCAGGTTCCATGCTTCCTTTTGCTCACAACGCCATCAGCGTCCCCAGTGATTTTGGTGCTTTTTTGTTTTTTGTTTGTTTTCGGACAAAGCGTCCTTGCGCGCAAAACTAATTCGAAGAAATGGAAGAGTTAAACGAGGACACGCGCATGGACATTGGATGTGGCACACGCTCGCTTGCCCTTGCAACTTGTAGCTCAATTACACGTGAGCGCTACGCTTCCTTTTGCCTTGGTCTCCCTTTTCTTTTGCATCTTGCGGGTCGTACTCACGCTTTCGCACACACACACACACACACACACACACACACACACACACACACACACACACACACACACACACACACACACACACACACACACACACACACACACGCGGTTCTGTCCCGCTCTTCTCATGTTTGCCCGCTGTTTCTAGACTCTTAGTTGGATGACCTGACCCTGCCGGGGTGACCCGATTGTTGCCTTGGTGTCCCAAAGTGGTCCTGTCATGTTCGCATCGCTCAGTGCTTGGTTGCCTGTCTTTGGGCGGCTTGGCTTTCAGTGCTCCCGGAATCTTTTTTCCGCAGCGACGGTCTTGGCAGCTGTCGCATTTGTGGCTTCCCGCAGATTGTTTGGCCTGCGCCTGAAGGGATGCAATCCCTGTAAATTCAGACTGACAGTACCCGCAGCTTCTAGCGAATGTGAGAATTCAACTACGTAGGGCTAATCATTGTTGGCAAGAGCCCCTGCTAAGAAGGACCTGAGCACGTTTCCGGAGTTGTGGGGGGAAGGGGGCCTTTGCTTGTTCCCCGAACAAGTGCCGCCAGCATGCGTGGACTCTAGACCTTCATTTCGAAGCAAACAGCGAGGGGTACTCCAAGTCGGCTATTCAAAGGAATCAAAGTAATAGAGCAAACAGTTCGACAACATGAACAGGTTCTTAGGACATTGCTAGAAATAGAGACCCTTTGGTGGACATCATCTAGGTGTTCACCAGCCATGTTTGGGGGGGATTCCCTCTGAGAATTCAGAGCCATTTAGACGTTCTGGTGGCTTGCTTCCAGAACCAAAGATGGGCTGCCGACACGGTTGCTGCCAAGCGGCGCGGCCCTGCTTAGCCTCCTCCTTCTCCTGGAAGACTCCGGGCCAACCAGCGGGTTTTGCACCAACCGTCGACCCGCAGCCTACTGCTGAGCAAGTTTGGCCCTCTTGTATTCCTTTCTCGGCACTCGGGGTATTAGGTCTTTAGGGCTTCTTTCCCGACGGAATCGAAAGGGCCGCGCTACAAGCACAAAGGTGCTTCAACGCGCATGCTAAACCAATTTACATACTCAGAAAGACACGGTCTTGAGAGGGTGATCATAGCTCACGCCAAAACGTTTCTCTTTGACGCAGCTGATCTTCTCTGGAAGAGCTTTGTGGCAAGAAAGGGTTCTCCCCGTGTCTGGACCACATCTCGCGGATGCTCAGAAGCCGACTGAGCCACTGATTTGGACATAATCCTTCCGGAGCACAGGGTGCTGCTAAACAGGGAGTCCGGAAAAATGAAGAATACCAATTCGAGCCATCCACACCCAGCCGGTTTTCTCCCCAGTCTCTACCAAGTCTTTTCCGGCTTGTTGTCCCAAGGTTTTTTCAGCCAGGTCACGCCAGCTTTCCGATTTGTTGGGTGTGGTTGCGGCATGCTCTGCCCGGTTTTTTCTTTTTTTCTTCTTTTTTTTTCCGCAGCCACATCCGGCGTAAGGGGTCTGCCGGTGCTTTCATGGCGCCTTCATTCCTCAAAGGTTGTGGATTCAAGACCAACTTGCCAGCGAGGTTTTCCGGACCTTTTGTCGCGCCGTCAGCAAGCGTTTCCATGTTTTCAAGGTCAGTTTGTGTAAGCTACCCAAGTTGTCCAAGTTTTCCTGCCCATGTTTTTTCAAGGGCTGGAAGGCCATTTTGCTGAGTTGTCCCAGCGAGTTTTTTCGGGCCATCTTTTCCACGCTCTTCCGGTCCCCAAGAAAGTTATTCCGCTTAGATTTTCTGTGTTCTTCCGCCTGGATCTGCGTGGCCATAAACAGACACTCAAACCCAGGCGTGCGCCTATCCGACCGGATCTGGCCGCATCAGACTGACTGCTGCATGGCTTTCAGGCTGGTGATCGAAATATATATATATATATGCACATATACAGTATATATATATGTATATATATATACATGTATTATGATATATATATATATGTATGTATTATAAGACATACATAATATACATATATATATATATATGTATAAAGACACAACATGTGACGGGTGGCAGGTGGGGAAAATACCCCTCCCTTTGTGATTCCTTTTGTGAACATAGAAAGCCATGAGCCCCCAAGTTCCGCAAAAACTGTGGTGTGCACTGAGGAACTCTCAGATCATTTCAGCAGACATTAGGACAAACATTCCTTCAACGCGGCTACACTTAGGTGTATGTGTTTTTGAGGTTACCATCTTTCTAGGGGAACTTTCCAAGGAGCCTTCTTTTCAGGAAACCATTAAAAACCCAGGGGAAACAGCCGGTGTTTTTTGAAGAACGGTGGTTGAAAAGCATGGGAATCAACCCCTAGAGTCTTTGGATGTTTTTGAAGGGAATGGGCACTGGAACACCCTTTGCCGAGAAGAAAAAAACTCCACTCCTTCCGCCGGTGTCTACTTGGCACTGGAAGCAATCAACACCTCACCGAAGGAATTCCCCTGAAAGCTGACCTGATCCTGAAACATCCGTGAAACATGCACACCCCCTGTTGGTCATGTTTGTTGGCATCGGCATGGGAGTATGTCTGCCCAGACGAGAACCGCTTTGGGGGTTGACCGGATCCGAGCAGCCCCCCGCAAAAAGATCACCTGGCAAAAACAAACATGCTCCCCGAAAGTCTCGAAGATCGAGCCAAATGGGTGTTCTTTTTGGGGGACCACCAAAATATGGAGGTTCTCCTTTGGTCTCCCTTAGCAGCAAACAAGGGGCCTACTGAAAAAGGCACACCCAACTAGCTCCGTCCTTCTCCAGCTGTTCCTCCAGTCGTGCCTTCTCCATCTTCAGGCCACCCTAGGAGCAAAAGCCAGTGTCACATGTGGTTTTTCTTGTTGATTCTGATTTTGATTCTGCATCTTTCTTCCGGGAGATGTGTTGATCCAAGGTGGGAGATGTGTTGATCCAAGAGGGGAGATATTAATAATATGTTGTTGTTCCAAGATGGGAGATGTGTTGTTGATCCAAGATGGGAGATGTGTTGTTGATCCAAGATGGGAGATGTGTTGTTGATCCAAGATGGGAGATGTGTTGTTGATTCAAGATGTTCTTGTTGGGTGATGCATCGACCTCACTCCTTTCTCGTGTTCCTGCATGGAAGTCAAAAGGTTACAAAGCGTGCCATGTCGCCACGCAAGCAACAAACATGTTGTTGTTTCCTTGTTCTTTTCTGTTGGGGGAACACAATGACTGTCAAAATCCCATTTTGCCATTGTTGCAGATTGGAGACTGTGTTTGAAATCGAGAAGTTATTTTAAAAGCAATTTACACAGTCTAACGCATCCGAGCGGAGAGGGTCATCTGGCGTGCGCTGGCTGAGAAAACAAAGCGTGCGCACAACGCACGTGTAGACCTGACAGTCTATGTTCCAACCGACAGAGCGTGAACTTGCGCACCTGCGAAATATACGTGAAATCAGGTGTGTTTGGCGCAACGAGAAGTCTTGTCGCATGTACATAACAGCAACAGCTTGGGGGCGACTGTTGACCCTTGTTACCTGAACAAATAGCACCCAGCTCCTCACACGGATCTTGCGGCATGCCTTCTTGGCAGGCAATACCTGCAGTGGTGAGGGACGAAAGGTTTATAGGCACCCCGAAATGGCTGGTTACTTTTGGCTTTCCTTTGACCCCAAAAAGGGGCACCCTCCCCGACCTTCCAAGGTGTTCCTTTGTTCTGCCTTTTCAACGGGAACTGCTTCTTCGGGAAAGCGGCACATGTTTGTGCCTCGGACCCCTTTTGCATTTTAGCCAAATCTGGGTGTGAAAGGGCACACTTGTGCGACCAAAAGGCGACTTCTCCCGACTGACAGGCGACTTTTCCCGACCAGGTTTGCCACGCAGAAGCACTTCTTCGAACCGATGCACATTTCCGCCTTTTCAGAAAAAAAAACAGGTGCAGCTAGGTCCAGAGAAGCCCCGGAAAGTGTCGGGGAACTCACTGAAATTGGGCAAGAACTTCTCGGCACAGCAGAGAAAGGGGCACCAATACATTCTCCACCCTCGCAGACCAAGTGCTGTCACAGACCAAATCCATTTCGAGTGACTTCAGACCCCTCGCCTCCAGGCTCTCTTTTGCTTCTCCGGCCCATTTCAACCCCCTCCTCGTTCTCCCCTCCCTCAACAGCCCCAAAGAACCCGACTCCGCCAGGGAACCGCCTAAGAAACTAACCAAACTCAACCAAACACGCAAACCCAACCCAGCAACCAAAAGCAAATGATCAGCGAAAGAAAACCAGCAACTCGACTTCAACCGGCCTGCTGCGCCAACTCCCAGCGCGCTTTCTCTAGATCGGTCTGCATCTTCCTCGATCTCCGTAGCGACGGCTCGCCAAATGGCTTGGCTTCCAATGGTCTATGAACGGCTTCGACCAGAACTGAGTCCAGTTCGCACGCCCGGAGCCTTCCCCGCACTTTTCACCGAACACCCTCAGCTAAGAAATGCTCGCAGGTGGAGGCCTGCTCGAAAAACGACGAAACAAACGGCACAATCCCGGGAAGTAAACCACCCCCCGCTCTTGTGCCGTGCCGCTTGACTTTCTTCTGCAGCTTCCACTCGGCGTCGCTGTCCTGTCATAAAAAATGGGTCGCGTTTCGAGTCAAATAGGTTGTAAGGAGTTACAGGTTGACTTTGGATGAATCAGAGTCGCACTGACGGTTCTGAAAGGATGCCCCCATAGGGACTTTGGAGGAAGAGTCGCGTTGAGGGCTCTGAAAGGATGCCCCCATAGGGGACAATCCCCGGATTAAAGTCGTAGGTTTTTGACGCCCTGGACTGAACGGTGTCCTACAAAAGAACTACACGCATCACCACGTAAAAAGAGAGGGTTGCACCCTCCCAAAGAAAGGAATGCACTTCAAGTGGAGCGGCTTCAAAATATGGATCTCCACTGCCAGGTCACCAGGTTGTTCGCTTGAGGGGAGCAGTCCTGTTTGAACAAACATGTCTTCTCAAAGGGAAAGCGATCAACTGGAACATGTGAATCAGGGCCATGACAGGTGGCTGACAACAAATCGGCGCTTCCGCAAACTGGACATGCGCTAAACATGTCAGGTACAAGTCACTTTGTACGTAAACTGGTTGTTGTGGGGGCTGCCCCTTTTCATGAATGTCATTGGTAGCTGTGAGACCTCAGTGATCTGCAAGGATCACCCGGGCAATGGTCACGATCCCTGCTTACGTACTAAGCTAGCTGCAAATTGAAGGGAGGCGTGGAAATGTCTGTCCTGCATCTGGCCCGCGTGAGTGGTCCAATACTTCAGCTCCTCCTGGGAGCAGCGCGAAGGCTGGAAATGAGCGCAGGAATCTTAAAATGGCGCCATACTGTGTTGCCTACAATGGATTCGGGGACCGCCTCGCTGTGTGCTGTTTGGTTGTTGATCGGTTCTTCCGTCACGAGTGGAAATACTCTCTGCACCTCACAAAATGCACTCATATCCGCCGACATTGCGGAGGCGTGTCGGATACTTAAGAGAGGATAAAGGATAACCCCCCTTACCACCCCCGCCCGACGTCTGATACGTAGGGTTTAGCGGGGGGCACACACCGAGAAAATGACGCGGACATGAAGGGGGAATTGAAAGGAATGGAAGGGGACATGACGAGGAAGGACATCCTCAAAAAATGCCAAGACATGAAAAGGACATGACGGGGAAATGAAGGGGAAAGCCAGTAGTACGAAGACAATTCAGGGGTCATGAAGGGGCAGTGCACGGAAATCGAGGCAACTCAGGGGGGCATGACGCTGCAATGCAAACAGAGAGAGAGAGAGAGAGAGAGAGAGAGAGATAGAGAGAGAGAGAGAGAGAGAGAGAGAGCGAGAGAGAGAGAGAGAGAGAGAGAGAGCGAGAGAGAGAGGGAGAGACAGAGACAGAGACAGAGACCGAGAAAGAGGGAGAAACAAAGACAGAGAAAGAGTGAGAGTAAAAGACCGAGATCGAGAAAGAGACAGAGCAGGAGACAGAAAAAAACAAGCGGAGAGAGAAACAGAGAGAAACATAGAGAAACAGAAAGAGAGACGGAGAGGAAAGAGAGAGGCAGGAGAGAGAGGCAGCCACCGGGGGGGGGGGAAGAGACACGAGGTGGGGAGAATGAGGCATAGCGAGGCGGTAGAGAAAGATAGAGACATAGAGAGGAAGGAGAGAGAGAGAGAGAGAGAGAGAGAGAGAGAGCGAGCGAGAGAAAGAAAGAGAGATAGAGAGAGAGAGAGAGAGAGACAGAGAGAGAGGCATAGAGAGGCAGGAGAGAGTGAGATAGAAAGAGGCAAAGAAGCAGGGAGAGAGAGAGAGATATAGACAAGAGAGAGAGAGAGAGAGAGAGAGAGAGAAGGAGAGAGAGAGAGAGAGAGAGAGAGAGTGAGAGAGAGGATTGGGAGGATGGGGAGAATGGGGAGGAGAGAGACAGAGAGGGAGAGGGGACGAGGGAACACACGGGGGAGGAGAAAAGAGAGAAAGGAAGCAGGAGAAAAGGCAGAGGACAATGTCGGCGGACTGAGCCGGAGGCTCTAAAGTATACGTGTCTTAAGGCACGTCACCTGTTGAGGCAATGGGTCACACCCACCATTCCCACTGCTGTCCGTCTTGCAAGGCAGCTTCATTTTCCTCTCTGGTCACTCTTGCATCCATCTCTCCTCTCCTGTCGTACACCTTTGCTCCGTAGCACTTCCCACTACTCCGCTCTCTCTAATGATTCCAGGAAAATGTGAAACATGCATTGGACACATTGGTGCGTTTGTCATGTAACACATGGCCAAAGGAAAGCAGCTGCCATTTCCGGAAAGCCGTTCTGACGCATCTCGAACTGACTCCGGCGCCTGTTTTTCGGATCGGGGGCCAAAACCTGTGGCAAGGCCTGCCGTTGGGTGGCAACTGGTTTTTCCAAACTCCACACAGCTCCTATTCTTCCCATGCAACCCCTAACCACCTTGCATAAATGCCAGCTTGGCTTCAGTTCTCAGCTTGGTCAACATTCGACCCCCAATCCGTTTCTTTTCTTTCTTTCTTCTTATGTTTTCTTAACAAAACATCTTTTATACCATCATATTCATATTCGTCAAGAGCAACACGCTTCAGATGGCATCAAACGTTGACCCAGTCATTCTAAACGCCTCGCTCGCTCGCAACGACTCGCGACTCGCGACGACCGGCCGCTCCTTGCAGCGCAAGAGCTCCGCCTTGCTGATGCGCCGATCTCTGCGCTCACGCAGACAAAGCAGAAGCAGCAAGATGAGCGCCAGCAGGGCCAGGATGAACTGAGTTTTTATTTTTTTATTTTTTTGGGGGGGCGGGTTCCCCCAATATTGCAATATATACTCACTATGATGTATTAGTATTATCTATTATTATAATCATTATTAATCACTACTATTTTGTTTCTTAATAATTGCCATTATTACTTTTGTTTTTGTTATTGTTATTACTACTAGTTTCATCATCATGAACATCGTCATCATCATCATCATCATCATCATCATCATCATCATCATCAACATCATCATCAACCATTATGTTTATGACTCAATGACTGTTACTATGACTACTGTGGATGGACGACATCCTGCACCACTTTCAAACCATGGGAAACCATTGCTTGTTGGTATTTACAGGGGTTCCTTAGGGGCAACAGGAGCCCGTGACTTTGGGGGGCCCTTGACACAGACCCTCGGTCCGACTCCAACCAAACCAATCCCTACAGACCCGAATTCTGACGTCTTCGGCACAGGCCGAGATCACTTCAGCAGAAACAATTCCTTCAACGCAGATTTTGCGAACCAACTGACGTGGTGTACGCGTATGGTACGACCGCAGTGCCGCGATTGACCTGTCTTTTCTCATTAATGATGCTCCTTGCTGATATGAGTATATATATATATATATGCTAAAAGGTTCGAGTCAGACTCAGGCCTGGTCCAAGCACTACTTCGAGTTGATGTACCGTTGGGTTTTGAACTGTTTTGTGATTGCGCTCCGAAAGCTATTCCCACGTTGCCTCTCCAGGGAAACATGAACCTGACCCACACAGGGATTCGTGACCATGTCATGACACACACACACAAACACCTCACCCTTGGAATGTCTTGCAAAGTATTGTATGAACTTGCCACGTCCTGGTGGTCTCACTTTGACATACAGGTCTGAACACACAACTTGGTTTTCACATGATAGAACTCAGTATGTGTCTTTTTCGATTCACATGTACGAACTCAATATGATGTCCACAACATGTCTGATTGATTTGCAGTCATTTACACGTTAAGCCCCCCCCCCTCCGAAAACACACACTCTTCCCAGCTGAAGGCACGGGGTGCCAGAAATCGCATAAAACATCGGAACTAAATCTGAACCATGTTTTGACAATCTTGGCCGATTCTCTTGGGTTGTTAGGCTACTGGGTTGTTTTACTGGGTTGTTGGGCTGTTGTTGCTTTTCGCTGTTTGGCTGTTTGGCTGTTGGGTTATTTAGCTACGACTTTGCCTTACGATGTTTGCGCGGCTTCCCGGGACTCGCCCATGTCCTCTTGCGAGAACCCCCCAATTGAGACGGTAGACCAGAAGATGCAAACAAATCGTGAACCCGCCGCAAGCAAAACATGATTGCCAATCAGACCAAACTCGTAGCTAAATCGTAACAAAAGAAACAAATAAGATCATGGTCTTCCCTTGACCTCGCACACACCGTAGGTCACAATAATGGAACATATGTCTGCCAAACTGAAGTGGAGTGTGCCTTCCTCGTGGAAGCTGCAGCTCAATATGAACACTACCATTTAGTAAACATCAAATCCGCCCACTCTTTCACAAACTGACAGGGAAGTGCACGGGAATCCTCCCTTTCCAGTAGGACAGCAGCTTTCCAAAAGTGGTCTGCACGCATGTTCCTTCATAGAGGAACTCTGCAACTTGCGGTACTGCTGCAGTCCCATTCAGTCTGCAAGTGTTCCTGGTGCCATGGCCACTTTCAACATTCGACCAATGAGCCATATCCCAAAAATGAGGCCCCTCCCATACACTATTTCCCTTTTTCCTACAAAAGGAGAAAATGGATGACGGGGTGAGGATGGCCCTGCGTTTCAAGCTGAAACAAGGCCCTCCATCACAAAGCTTCGAAAACATGTTTTTCTTCTCCCCAGTTTGCGTGACGAATGGTTTATGCCTCCCCTCAGTCACACACACACACACACCCACGCACGTAAGCGTTCCAGAGTCGGGGCGGATTGGCTGAAACTCACCTTGATTTGTTTCCTTGATGCCTGACACTCATTCAGCGGTTTCCAGGACATACTGAGCTCACGAGCTTGGAGTTTGGGAGAGGACGGAACACCGATGAGAGTTGGATTTCCCCATCAGGTGTGTTGCGGCTCGCATGGCCCTTGGAAACTACACAAACGTATTTGACCATCAAACGCTGCCCCTTCGGCAAATCCCGTCATTCACTTTGATCGCACCACGAGGCCTCCCTCCACCCAATTGGCGCCAATGGTAACCCCCGCAACAGTTGGAAGCTTTCAAAGCAACTCCCCCGAATGGGATCTTTGTGCTTGCCATCTTGGGAATCGGTGTGCCTTCGGGGAACCCCCATGTTGTTCAAGGGAAACTATAAGCAACCCGCTCAATTTGGGTTGCGTCCAAATTTGAGGCACGCCAGCACGGACATTCAGTGCAAGGGCCCCGGAAAACCAAACCATGAACCAAGATCTACTCCAAATTTGGGCATCCCAACGGCAAATTCTCCCAGTCTTAGTCGACGTTGGAAGGGGAGCAAAAATCTGAGTTTTAGCAGGTAAGTAAGTGATTGGATTTCAACCACTATACCACAATAAGCAAAAAAAACGAAAAAACGTGTCCCAACGACCCTGCAAAGATGGTTGCCTTTCTGCCAGCTTCGTTGAGCAAACGCATCTTCGCCCTTCCCACTTCGCCCTTTCGCTTCTCCAGGCCGCGAAAACCAGCAAGACCCACACCGCACCATTGGAGTCCTCTACCGGGCCTCGGGGTGGAAGAAGGGGTCAGTGGGGCTCAGTGCGGGACTGGGGGCGGGACTGGGGGCGGGGGGGTGGAGTGGCCAGCAAACCACCTTGTCGCCGTCTAAAAACAAACTACCCTGTCAACCAGCAACAGCTGCTTTAGCTAAGTTTCGAAAATGCAAAAAGATCGCCAAAGATTTGATGACAAGGCAAAGCCAAAGGGTCGAGAACCTTCGGGAAGGAGGATCCGGGAGGAACGCGAAAAGCTGCCAACTTCAACTTGACCACTAAACAAATACGTCGCAAAGGTCGCCATTCCTGAAAACCTGTCATGACAGGTTTTACGGTAGAAAGAGCTTGAATGAGCTCGAATGAGCGCAACTTAGCAAAAATCGAGGCTCCCGCGCAATTAAATTAGGTATATGAAACTATTAGGGTTCAACTTGTGCCAGGCTTCTCTTTTGTAGCTGTATAATGCAAACGGTGCGGTGAGGCATTGCCATCCCTTGCAGAAACAACCTGGAGCCCAACTGATGGAAGAACCTTGGCGGCTGTTGACAACGCATTGAGCAGCATTTGAGGACGGCATTGCTACATTCAGCAACGATCTCAAAGGAGGGTGTCTAAGCACAGGTCGCACCTTGGATGTAAAAAGCTTGTTGCGAGCATTCCGTGCAGAGTTCACTCAAAAACAACAACCTTTATAATCAGATTCCCTCGCTCTGCCTTCGTCCGAGGTGACTCAACTGCATGCGCTTGTGTCAAAGGCATGTCTTCGCCCTACCTTCCTTCTTGAGATGTCTGATTTCAGACTGAGGAAAGCAGTTCTTCCTCTGGGGTTTGGTCGAAGCTCGGTTACTCATCTACAGACATGCTGGTCCGATTCCGCATCAGTGTCTGCCCTCACTTTTGTTTTCTGGTCACTATTGAGCTTTTCACCATGCGCTGTTGCTTCGAGGAAGTGTTTTCTGCAACTCACCACGCCTTGGTTTCTCGGTTGCTTGCTGCTTCCCTGCTAAAAGTTTAACTTTTAGTGGTTTCATGCAAAAACACAACAACATTAGTTGGCAAGAAGTTAAAGTCCTAACATCCAAGCAACATGCACGCCTTGGTTTGCCTCCGCCATCCGCGGAACAAATTTCCTCAGTCGGGCCAATGCGCCTGCGCCACAGCTCTGAAGCTGCGTGTAGAGCCCGGCCAGGGTGCCTTCCAGGATGGTGACATTTTGCCTCGAGACGGCGTAATATGAACCCCGGAAAGACCATTGGGTGTCTCCAAGAAACCGGGGGCCTCCACCTGGATGGTGCCGAAACTCAAACCAGAATGACACCAAAGTGTTGTTCGGTTCACTCATAGTTTTGGACACGTCCTTTTGAGAGCGGTGGTGTGTCAGCGCCCCAAACCCATCGACTTTTGGCTCCATCAACATGATTGCAGTGGAAAAAACTAGACCCCACTACAACCGCCATGAGACTGGATAGAAGAAGCTGCTAGAATTTGGACCCTTTTGGAAACGGCATCCATCGAACAAGGGCTCCTGGAGTCTATCGAAGACTTCCTCTCCAAGGCGCTGGCACTCCTCAAGATTGATGTCTGGTGAGGTCTGGGACCACCAGGAGCCGCAATAGTCACAGCACCCGCAGGTGGTGGTGCTTGTCACAGAGGTGCTGGTGATGGTCGTAGTGGTGATGGTCGTAGTGCTGATGGTCGTAGTGGTGATGGTCGTGGTGGTGATGCTGGTGGTCAAGCTGGTGCTGGTGGTCTCAGCTGGGCGTAGCTTGGGGAGAAGGGGAAAAAAGGGGGCTAAACTGCACACCATCTCCATAATCTTATCTATCTTTCCTGTCTTCAATTTGTTAGCAGCTCCGCAGTACCCGGATGTTCAAATCTTCATGGTTCTAAGACGCATTCATTCAAAGATTCTACTGCTTGACTTCTGCGCACTCGTGACTCGTGGCTGTGTATATCCAGTTGGCCTGGACTGGATGAAGGAGGAAGCATGAGCCAGGCAACAAGCCCTGGAGGACTCTAAGGAGTTGTCAAAGAACCAGTTGGATGAAAGCGACGAAGCCTAAGCCCTTTGGCATGACAAACAAAAACCAAGGAATGGGCATTTCCATCTCAAGCTTCCGTGACCCAAGGCGTGGCACTGTGTTGAGCCTATGTGTTTTCGTTTTGAAGTGTCGGCATGGCTCAGGGGCTGGTTGAAAACGTTTCATGCGGAAAATAGAACACTGTCGAACAAAGAAAACCCTTGTATCAAGGGTTTGCAGTTGCGTTCCTGAAAGCGTCAGGTGCATGGCTGGTGGGAGGGGTGTTCTTCTCATCCGCCCTTGCAAGCTAGTTGACCCAAACCTCCTGTGGCCAGAGGAACAACAGGACATATGTCCTTGGCTGGTGCTTCGTCTTTTTTATTTCAGAAAGGAAACGCGCCTTCCTCAAAAACAAGACACAGGACGTCAGTGGCCTGCGCTGACGGAAAGAAAGCGCCAGATCAATGCTACGCAGCCATGTAATTTAGGAGAGGCGCAGACTGCGTGGTGCTTGTTCGACTGGTGGTGGTTTGCGTGGTGAAGGTGTCCTTAGGGCAAAGCGGCGTTCCGCGAGCCAAAGCAAAACCATATCCATTCCGAATGCTGTCAACCTCATGTTTATGTGATGAAACAACATATCAAGTCAGAAGGTTCCAATGACACGTCTGATGTCAAGACTCATGACAATGCTTCACAGGGGCATAACGAACTCTTCTGTGTGCTTTTCAGAAGACTCCTTCCAATCTGTGACCTCGCAGGTTGCACAAAGCCGGAGCTTCTGGGTCCTGTAACCTCACACATGTGGCCCCGTTTGCCGCAGCCTCTGGAAAATAAACAGGCCGCCGCAGATGTCTCTGTGAAAAGGCATCCAACCTGCTACTAGGCGAGCAAACATAGGCCCGTTCCCTTACATGGAAGTTGGCTATGGTACCTTGTTCAGCTTGGTTCAAAGGGAAACCAAAACAACACCACCATTCTTGGGGTACCCTATTCGGACATACCATGCTGGCATGCTAAACCCTTTGTAAAGCGATTCGCGTCTCTCTCGCCATGCTTGAGCGGATTCCAAAGAGACGGAAGCACGCCCAGGAGGAAAATCCCCAGCTACCAATCCAACCCACCAATTAAGAGCTGATTGTTGGAAAGAGGGTACCTGCAAGAAAACACGCCCAAAGTGGGGCGACTCAAGCCAAAAAACCAGCGTGTGAGCGAGTCTCTGTGCTGCTGCTGGTCTTGCTGGTGCTGGTGACCGAGCTCTGAGTGGTGGAAGTCTCGCTGCTGCTGGTGGTTCTGGTCACCTAAGTCGGCCAGCAGAAATGGATTTGGTTTGAAACCCTTTGGAGACCCCCCCACACGAAAAGTGGGTTTGGAATTGCTTCCCTCGTAGCAGAAGGGCTCGGACAGGGGGTCTGGGGGGCAGCATGTCTTCGCAAGATGTGTCGCTGCGTAGCGTGATTTGCGTCTCGGGTGTGGTCGCTTTGAGGTGTGCTTGGCAGGCGCGTGCAAGCGTTTGCGTGAGTGTCTTTTTCGTTGGCCCATGCAATCGGCTCGTGTTGGCGAGCCGCAAGATTCTGTCAAAATCAGTCTGGCGCCGCAAGCCCGTGCTAATTTCGGACAAAGTTGGATTTTGTGACAGGCGCAGTACCTTGAGCGCTTGTTGCTTCGCCTGAAGCTCACTTTGTGTGAGAGGAGCATCACTGAGCGCTGTGATTCATTTCGTGGCACAGCACTTTGGGTGGTCGCGCGTTGAATTCCGTGGCAAGCGCAGCAAAGCAAGAAAGAAATAGCGAAATAAGCAAGCAAAGGAATAAACAAACAAGAGACAGAGAGAAGAGAGAAGATAAGTCTTCAGATAAATAAGATAAACGTGACACATGCAAGATAGACAAGAGAAAGAGAAAGACAACGAGGCAGAAGAGAAATAAGACGAGAAGACAGCGAAAGAAAAAAAATAAGAGAAAGCAAACCGACAAATAAGACAAATCAAGACGATAAGGATCAAGAAAAAGACATGAACACAGAGAAGGAGACAGAGACAGATACAGAGAGAAAGACAAAGAACACGAGAAACAAGAAAGAGAAAGAGAAGGAGACAGAGACATCGAAAGCAAACAAGGACGTAAAGAGAAAGGCAAGGGACAAATAATATGAGAAAGAGAAGAACAAGAGAAAGAGACATAAGGAGACACGCAATAAAGGATGCAGAGGAAGAGAACGAGAAAAGAACAAAAATAAAAATAAAAGGAATAATAAAGGAAAAAGGGAAGAAGAAGACAAGAGAGAGAGAGAGAGAGAAAGAGAGAGAGAGAGAGGGAGAGCACGCGAAAGAAACAAATAGAGAGAGAGAGAGACCGACAAAGAGAAAGCGAAAGAGAAACATAAAAAGACACAAGAAAGAGAGACAGCGAGAATGGGAAAATCAATCTCCCCCCCTCAAGGCTCTACAAAATTTGCTTGGTTGTCGTGAACAAAAAGGCAATACACTGCAAGGTAAGCCAATCGACAAAACAGTGTCTTCCTCTTCAACGAAAAGCATATGCTCGATCCCTACCCATGTTTAGTGAAGCTGAGCATGTAAAGCAAGTTCCCGGAACTTTTAGGGAATCTGAGAGTTCATGTCCAGATGACCACTGTATTTGACGAATGCCATGAAGCCAGGATTTACCGGAAGGCCTGATGCCACAACTATCCCGCAATCCATAAAGGCCACGAAATTAAACCTCAAGAAAAGACAACAAACAGGAAAGGCTCGCTTCATATTTTCGAACATTCAACCCTCAAAAGCAAACACAACCCCCAGTCTTTCAAACTACAGTACTTTTGTTCCAAGTCAAAGTGTTGAACCCCCTGAGCTTTTGGTTTCCCGCGACTTTGCGCTTGCAGTTCCCTGAGGCTCAGTTGTTCAGTGACCCTGGACAAAAAAGGGAACCCTTTTTGGGGAAGACCATTTTTAGTGGGCAGCCACCAAGAAAAGGGAAAAAGGGTGCCACTGAACAACTGAGGAGGTCATCGACTGCTTGAGTCACGCTGGTTGTGCTGGACGTGGATGTGGAGGTCAGCGTGAAGGTGTTGGTGTCCGTTGTGGTGCCTCTTGCTTCGATTTTGCGAGAGCTGGGGAGTGACCACTGGTTTCGCGGATTCTGGGAATGAACCCTCTGGAGATTCCCGAAAAAAAATGGACACCGCCAGTTGGATTGTTTATAGGGTCATTCCGTTTCTCATTCCCTTTCTGAGCAACAGCCAGGCAGGGATGGACTCACCTGGCTGTTCCTCAAAGGAGTTGGTCCCGTGAGAGACAGATTTGGTCCTCGTGGTTGGTGTCCTTTTGGTTTCCTAATTGTGATAAGGGTCCGGGATCTTCAAAGGTTTGCCACGGCCTGAAAACAACAGGGACCGGGGGGCGGGGGCGGGGGGAAGGACTTGTTCGTGCGTCGCTTGCGGTTGTGGGCAATGTGAGCCCCTCCATGAGCCTCTCAACTGAGTTTGCCACAGGAAATGCCACTCAAAACTGCCATATGATCCAGTTATGTCCTTTCCGGAGCCTTTGATGGGCAGCATAGGCATTTATCTGAGGGGATCCCGAAGATTTGTTGCGGGGACGGGCATCCTCTCTCTAATGCCAGTCATGAGTCTGCATTTGCCCTTTAGACTCTGCTTTATCCGGAGAACTGAGGAGCCAAACCGAGCCGACTCGAGCTTCCAGCTGACGACGGCTTGGGGTTTCAAGAAACACGGAGAAAATGCAACTAGGTCCTCCAGTAGAGAGGTTAGCATAAGGGTACCCGTTTTTCTGTAGTCTATTTTAGTAGGGGAACCCTCCCCCAAAAAAGGGGAGAGAAGGGCATTACTGGGGGACCTAGGCAACAAGCGTCCTTGGGCTCGACACTTGCACCAAAGGGCTTGCAAATGCATCCCAAACACTTTTTGCCCTTCCAAGCGGAAGCGGACCGCAGGGAACAAAGACCGTCCATTGATGGCCCAGTCTAACCCAGGTGGCTATGCATGTTAATGAGGAATACCCTCCCAAATAGTTGGTGGACATAATTCTCACACAAATGATGTCCAAAGGGTCCCCATTGAAATGTTCACACCAGGAAGCGCTTGATGCGAACACATACAACTGGTGCCTATTGGCAACTCTGTGCCTCGGGTGGCTCTGCAAATTTGCTCTGCAACCAGTGGCAATTGAAACATGCCAACATCGCAGAAAGACAAATGGGTCCTATACTTGGAATGCCTGATCGGTTCGCAGGCGCGAACAGAAAGGATGGGATGTATTGGTGCATGTCCGTATGGGAAGTCCACAGAAGTTTCAAGTAGTGGGGCCACTGATTGAAGAACAACTCCTCCAAACAACCCGTGAAACCCTTTCGGTGAAGCTAGCGCTGCCAGTGGGATTTGCATGATTTAGGCGCGGGCCCGCTTCATTTCGAAAAGGAAATGACAAGATGCAACAGGAATTATGCACATACTGTATATGGCTCCTTAGCCGGCCTTTTTGAACGGAAGCAATATGCATACAAACAGGCTGATCAATCCTAAGTTGGTCCCTGATATCACCATTTCATCCCCACACGAAGCGACTTGTCTTCTCCCAGAAACAAGAAGGGAAGATTGGGCGGGCCCCCCTGTCGTTGTCCTCCTCAACCTAGCAGACCGGACATGTTGAAAAGTATATGAATGAGAGGGAAGCAATCACAGGTGCCACAAATCGGGCATCCTCAACTTGCCTACCTGCTCAGTCTGGACATGTTGAGATCTTGATAGGGTTACAGGAGTCAAGTAATTCACAGCCATGGGGGAGCCATAACGACGGACAAAATTTATTCACGTTGCCCATGTCCTCCCCAAAACAGCAACTGGCAGATCCAGTTGCCCACCCAAAAGCCAGCACAACTCCAAATATCTGTGCTGGACAATCCAGTTGCCCACCCAAAAACCAACAAAACACCTTCCCACTCCAAACATCTGCGAGGCACCGCTGGTGGTGGTGGTCCAAGAGGTGGTCATGGTGTGCGTGTTGGTGATGGTGACGGTGCTGGTGGTGGTAGAGCTTGCCGTCACCGAGGTCTGCGTTCCAGTTTTGGTCAGGGTGGAGGTCTCGGTGTTGCCTCGGATCGATGAAGCTTATCCCCCTCAAACAACTTCATACCATAGTGACCCTATGGTCAATGTAGCTTTCCCTGTTTAACCCCCAACAGAATCCTTAAAGGGCCTTTGACCCTCTGGGCAAGAACAAGCAAGCCACTTCACCTTCCCCCCAAGACCATCCTTAAAGGGTACTTGGACCCTCTGGTCAAGAACAAGGACTTCTCCACATGTTCACAATGCTACAAATTGTTGATTGCAACCCAAAAACGCCATAGGTGGAGCACGCAGCCCTTCAAAGCAAGCATGTCCTTCGCAACGAAGAAGTACGTCAAGTTGTGAAACCCTCTGGTCCGGGACCAAACCAATTCGGGTCCACTTCGAGTGGCTGCTAGTGGAACTGCTGGAGGTTGAGGAAACGGACGTGGTTTGGGTAACGGAAGTGCTGGTCCAGGTGGAGGTCCAAGTGCTACTGCTGGTGATGGACGTGCTAGTGCCCGTGGAACCTCAGCGCGTTTCGCCCGTAAGCATGTTTTTCACTCCCGCCGGCTGCGGGAGACTTTTGGGAGGGGATGCACCTCGCTTGCGAAATCTGCTCATGCTAAAAGTGACTAGCTGTTAGTGGTTTAATACGGAAAACCCAGTAGTTGGCAAAAAGTTAAAGTCCTAACATCCAAGCAAAATGCACCAACGGAACGGCGTGTATGTCCAATGCTATGAATGTTTTGACAGGTTCAGCCAAGGCGGCCACTTTGTTCATGATATTCTCAACGTTTCCTTGCGATCAGTTGAAATATTCCAGTCGATTGAAGCATGTGTGGTTTGCCTGCTTACAACAACAAGTGCAGGTTCCAACCCAGCTAACACCATTCTTGTTTTATTTTTTGCAGTTTGCCTTTGGTCGAGTTGCTGAACGGCATTCACATGAAACCTGCCATTTGTGTGCCAGATACGGTGGTTTTTGCTGTCAAAACACATGTCGGTAAAGGCTAGATGTCCCCGTCACCCGACATAAGCCGGCCAGCCGCATGAAGCATCAGTTTGTTTTTGTGTGTCGGTAAAGGCTTGATGTCCCATGCCCCCTGGCATGAGCATATAATAAGATACAAATAAGAACATAACAGCAACTACATGTCAAAATACGACTACACTGTTGAAAACCCATCCAAACGAAAGAACAATACCCAAAACCTGAAATCAAATAACCACTATCAATCTACTAGAGTAAGTACTTTCAGGCAGAATGAAGGTGAGAGACTTATCATAGGGGTAAAATAAGTTTCATGGTTGTTAAAGCCTCTTCAAAGGGATCCCGTCAAGGCTCTCAAAACGAACCTATGAGCCTCTATTTAGGCCCTTTAGTCGCTATTGGGCCCCCATTGGGATTGGGGGGGCCCCTACATAGGATTAAGATGAAGATAGAAGTAAATCATTCATTCTAAAAGAGCACGCATCTGTTTGTTGTGCTGCCCAAACAGATCTCCGTGCGGCTAGATTCCCCCTTCCCCACCGCCGCCCCCTCCCCCCAAACATGGGCAAGCCACAAAAAGCGCACACATCTGTTTGTCTTTTTGTGCTGCCAAAAACCGCGGTAAAGGCTAGATTTCCCCCTGTCCCGGGCATCATGAAACCAGCAGTAGCTGGTTGCCTCAAGCGATTGGCCATCGCGCGGTCGCGCGGGCGACCGCATCGCATCTATGCCTCCTGGTCCGAAGTCCAGAGAGTCAGGTTGTCTCGCAGCAGCTGCATGATGAGGGTCGAGTCCTTGTAGGAGTCCTCCGCCACGTTGTCCAGCTCAGCGATGGCATCCTCGAAGGCAGTGCGCGCCATTTTGCAGGCCTCGTCAGGGCTGCCGAGCACCTCGTACCTCGCTGGCAAAATCTGCTCCCATGCTAAAAGTGACTGACTTCTAGTGGTTTAATACTGAAAACCCATCAGTTGACAAACAGTTAAAGTCCTAACATCCCTTGGCAAAATGCAGCAAAGGTACATGAAGACCGAATAGTTCAAAGCCAAACCCAAACGGATCGGATGTGTCACTGCCAAGTCCTTCTGCGCCACCGTCGCTGCCTCCTCATAGGCCGCTCTCGCCTTCTCGGCCGCGGCCTTCTTGGCCTCGCCATCACGGAACTCCGCGATGTAGCGGTAGTAGTCCGCCTTCATCTTCTGGTAGAAAACCTTGGACTCACCGCTGCTGGAGGTTGGGATGAGCTTTCCATCCAAGAGGGACAGGATGGTGTCGCAGATCGACTGCAATTCCTTCTCCACCTTCTCACAGTACTCCTTGGCATACCCGGCGTTGTCAGCATTGCCCTTGCTGGTCTCCTTCTGCATCACGCTAGTGATGATGCGCCATGCAGCACGGCGAGAGCCAACGGTGTTCTTGTAGGCCACAGACAGCAGGTTGCGCTCCTCAACAGAAAGCTCGCCGCCAGCGTCGCCCACGTTCTTCATGTGATCGGCCATCTCATCATAACGCTCGGCCTGCTCAGCAAGCTTTGCAAAGTAGACCTCCTTGTCACGAGTCGACATGGCTTTCGGAACACTCCTGCTGCTGGCAACAACACAGAAGCCTTGAATCAAATCACTACGGAAGCGCGGATCTCCTGCGAACTTGGAAGAGTGGCCGTTCGTGTTGTTTTGTTTGTTTTGTGGTCTTCTCTTGGTTTGAAGGCACATGGTCATGACATGTAAATGTGTGAATGTGTGCGTGTTTGCGCGTGTCATGTGTGTGTGTGATTGTTTTTGCCTACCTTTGGAAGGCTTGACTGGCCATGGATCATGGAGGATCCCTGTGGGTGAACTTTCCGTGGTGTGAAAACTGTCATCTTCCAAGGGGTGTTTGCAATCACCTGACGACTTCACCAAGCAAACGGCCCTTCATTCTTTTCGAGGCGCTCGAGGTGGTGAGGCTGGTGCGGGTCTGTGTGGTGCCGGTGCCGGTGCTGGTGGTCGCTACCGTGGTGGTGCTGCTCAAAGTCACCGAGGTCAGCGTCGTCGTGGCTGACGTACTCGCGGGGCCGCGAAAGGAGGACTTCATATGGCCATGGGCAACCCCGTGCCCCCAGTGAACATCCCAATCCCCACTAAAATAGGTTCTAAAATGGGTGGTGCAGCTACCCCAAAATGGTACCATTGGTTTTGACCCACAGCCATATGGGCGCCGAAATGTAATTAGAATGGGGCTGTGGGGAACTTTAAAAACATGGTTAGTCGTGATTCTAGGAAAAGCACTTGCTTTACAGCGGTTTCCCACGAAACAACAAAAAAGAGGGCCAGACACTCAGTCGCAAAGGTGACACTTGGGTTTGTATTTTTTACGGGGCTGGTCAGGAAGGTTTGAGTACGGGGTATGATTCGCAGGTATGATTCGCGGAAGCAGCAGCAGCAGCAGTAGTAGCAGCAGTAGTCGTCGAAGTAGTAATATTGTAGTAGTAACAATAGTAGTAGTAGTAGTAGTAGTAGTAGTAGTAGTAGTAGTAGTAGTAGTAGTAGTAGTAGTAGGTAGTAGTAGTAGTAGTAGTAGTAGTAGTAGTAGTAGTAGTAGTAGTAGTAGTAGTAGTAGTAGTAGTAGTAGGTAGTAGTAGTAGTAGTAGTAGTAGTAGTAGCAGTAGTAGTAGTAGTAGTAATATTGTAGTAGTAACAATAGTAGTAGTAGTAGTAGTAGTAGTAGTAGTAGTAGTAGTAGTAGTAGTAGTAGTAGTAGTAACAGTAGAAGCAGCGACTGTAGTGGCGCGGAAGCTTTGAAAAGACTTGGCACTGGCCTTGGCAAGGCAAGTTCATTGCGCGGGTATGATTCGGGTATGATTCGCGCATATGATTCGGGTATGATTCGCGGGTATGATTCGGCTAGGTGCAAAACGGCACTGATTACAAACTCAGAATGATGAATGTAGTAGTAGCTGTGGTAGTAGTAGTAGTAGTAGTAGTAGCAGTAGTAGTGGTAGTCAAAGAAGTTTAAAAGGAACTTCCGTGTTACGGCAACTAATTCAAAGCTAGCTCTCTTAGACAAATGACAAGAGAAGGAATAAGCCCACGAGGAAAAATGCGCGCGTGTGGCAGGGGAAGAGAAAGTCGCAACAAACATGGCCCTGTGCGTGAATAGGCGTTTTCGGAGATGAGAAAGTCGCAAAAAGCGTGGCGCTGTGCGTGAATTGGCGTCTCCGGAGACGCGAAAGCTAGCCTGTCCGCGGCGTCTGGTCGGAGCGGGCTCGGAGCGGGCTCGGAGCGGTCTCGGAGCGGTCTCGGAGCGGGCTCGGCGCCGTGACCATTGGCACGGCAACGCAGAGGTTTCGCAAGGATTGAATTGCGTGGCAGGCGCATCATTTTGGTGAGGTCGGGTGCAGGTTTCGTGGCAGGCGCAGCACTTTCGCAAGGTCAACTTTTCTCAAGGTTTGAATTGCGTGGCAGGCGCAGCACTTTCAAAAGGTCAGGTGCAGATTTCAAGGCAGGCGCAGCACTTTCGCAAGGTCAAGTGTAGATTTCGTGGCAAGCGCAGCACTTTCGCAAGGTCAAGGCCAAATTCGTGGCAGGCGCAGCACTTTCGCAAGGTCAAGTACAGATTTCGTGGCAGGCGCAGCACTTTCGCAAGGTCAAGTGCCAAATTCGTGGCAGGCGCAGCACTTTCACAAGGTCAAGTGCAGACTTCGTGGCAGGCGCAGCACTTTCGCAAGGTCAAGCGCCAAATTCGTGGCAGGCGCAGCACTTTCACAAGGTCAAGTACAGATTTCATGGCAGGCACAGCACTTTTGCTTGCTTAGGTACAGATCGATAGATAAATAGATAGATAGATAGACTAGATAGATAAACAGAGAGAAATAGATAAATGCATAGATAGATAGACGGTTCGATAGATAGATAGAGAAAGATAGAGAAAACAGAGAGATAGATAGCTAGATAGATATCGATAGATAGATAGATAGATAAATAGATAGATAGATAGATTCGATACATAGAAAGATAGATAGATAGATAGAGAGAGATAGATAGATGGATACATGGATAGATAGGTAGATAGATAGATAGGCAGATAGACAGAAGAGATAAGTAGATAGATAGATAGATAAAAAGATAAACGAATAGAGAGATAGATGAAAGATAGAAAACATAGAGATAAATAGATAGATAGATAGATAGATAGATAGAGAGAGAGATAGATAGGTGGATAGATAGATAGGTAGGGAGATAGATAGATAGATAGATAGATAGATACATAGATAGATAGATAGACAAACAAACAGAAGATAGATAGATAGATCGATAGAAAAAGAGATAGAGATATAGATAGATAGATAGGTAGATGGATAGAGAAATAAATAGATAGATAGATGGATAGATAGATAAATAGATACAGAGGTAAATAAATAGATAGATAGAGAGAGAGAGAGATAAAGGGATATAGAGAGATGGATAGATAGAGAGATAGAGAGATAGGTAGATATAGAGATAGAGAGATAGATAGATAAGCAGATAGATAGATAACACGAGAGATAGATAGATAGGTAGTTAGGTAGATAGATAGGTAGAGAAGATAGATAGACAAGTAAACGAAAGAAAGAAAGAAAAGACAGATAGAAAGAAGGAAAGAAGGGAGGAAGGAAAGAAATGAAGAAAGGAAGAATGACGGAGAAAAAGAATCAAGAAAAGAAAGAGAAAGAGACCTATAGTGTTTATATGTTTGAAACTTCCGCCCACCAGCTTCGCCGGCTCTACTGGTAGTAGTAGTAGCAGGTGCAGAAGTAGTAGCAGCTGCAGCATAAGCAGCAGCGGCTGTAGTGGTGCGGACGCTTTGAAAAAGACTTGGCACTAGCCTTGGCAGGGGAAGCTCATTGTCCGGGTATGATTCGGGTATGATTCGCGGGTATGAATCGGCTAGGTGCAAAACGGCACTGATTACAGACTCAGAATGATGTATGTAGTAGTAGTGAGTAGTAGCAGCAGCAGCAGGAATAGTAGTAGTAGAAGTTAGTAGTAGTAGTAGTAGTAGTAGTAGTAGTAGTAGTAGTAGTAGTAGTAGTAGTAGGAGTAGTAGTAGTAGTAGTAGTAGTAGTAGTAGAAGTAGTAGTAACAAGGTAGTAGTCGTAGTAGTAGTAGTAGTAATAGTAGTAGTAGTAGTAATAATAGCAGTAGTAGTAGTAGTAGTAGTAGTAGTAGTAGTAGTAGTAGTTAGTAGTAAGGGTAACAGAAGCAGAAGTAGAAGCAGTAGAGTAGTAATACTCGTAGTCGCGGTAGTAGCAGTAGTAGTAGTAGTGGTAGTAGCAGTAGTAGTAGCAGTAGTAAGTGGAGTAGTAGTAGTAGTAGTAGTAGTAGTAGTTGTTGTTGTTGTTGTTGTAGTAGTGGTAGTGGTAGTATTGGGTAGCGCTGGTGGTGGTTGTGGAGGCAGTGAACAACACAAAACGGTAGAAGAACAGTAGCATCTTGCAGCATTCGTATTAAGGGGTATGATTCGGGGGTATGATTCGGGGTATGATTCGGGGGTATGATTCGTGGGTATGATTTGGGGAGGTCCCACCTTCTGCATTTTGAAGCAACTCAACACACCAAAAAAGGACAAACCCACTTGGAGACTTGGCTGTGAGGGTGAAAAAATGGACTGGGGCAAGCCAAAGCTGGCAAGAGAGTTGCAGGTCTTGAAGCGGCAGGCTGGTTTCAAGCGTCAACCAATCAAGTAGCAGTAGTAGTAGTTCGGATTCAGACACCCTGCTACGTTGACGCCCCTTTGCCAATACGTGTTTTTCCGCTAATGCTGCAGAACGTTGCATGTGTGATGTAATCAGCCTGCTGCGAAGGTCAGTTTGCCCCTGCAAACTCCAAAAGCCAGCGTCGTTCAATATCCCCTTCAGGGTCGCTTCTGTTGGTCAGGAAATGGCCCTAAAGCATTACAATTTTCGGAAGATTGGAGGCAAGGGAGGCTGTCCATACCATCGGCTGGCGTTGCAGTAGTGGCATGGAATGGTGTACGCTCTGCGTGTCACCGCCAGGTACCATAACCAGAAGGCTGGCGAAGCCGGTGGGCAGCCTTCTTTCTTCATAGCATGTAGGAACTGTGGTTCTCTGTCTCTTTCTTCTTACTCTCTTTGTCGTTCTCATTATCCTTCTCTTCTTCTGTTTCGCTTGTTTCTTTTTCTCTTCTTTCTCAACCTCTCTGTCTTTCTGTCTCTGGCTCTCTCGTCCTTGCCTGTCTGTGCTTTCTCTTGGCCTTACTTCTCTTCCTTGTTCTCCTTCTGTGTCTTTTTCGGTATGTTTCTCTTTCTCTACTGATCCATCTCTCTGTGTGTCTGTCTGTCTATGTTTCTATCTACATCTATTGTTCATCTGTCGATCGCTTTATCTAGCTAGACAAACACCTAGATGGTTAGGCGGATAGATTGTGAATGGATGGACACAAAGGTAGAAACATAGAGAGAGAGAGAGATAGATGAAGCGAGAGCGGAAAGACAGATAGACAGACAGATAGAGTGGTAGATCGACAGATAGACAGAAAGGAATGTTAGAGAAAGAAATTGGTGGATAGACCGACCGAGATATTGGTTGAAAAGAGAGACATACAACTTATAGACAGGTAGTTGGATAGGTAGACAGGCAGACAGGCAGTCAGACAGACAGATAGGTACTCTGCCTGTCTATCTAATTCTCGACCTATCTATGTGCTTATACCTCTTTATCTAGCTATCTATCTGTCAACATACCTGTCTAGACATCTGTTCGCTTATCTATCCGGTAGTCTTGTTTTTTGCGTTGATCAATCTACAGTGCTCCGAGTGCGCCTGCCACGAAATCTGCACCTGACCTTGAGAAAGTGCTGCGCCCGCCCCTAACAGTTGAAAGCTGAGAAGACCATATTCACCAGCTGCAGGAACGTCAGATCAGCCAAAAACCACTCTACACATCTGTCAGACTGGTCCTCACAACTCGATGTGCACCGGGGCGTTTGTCTTTGTTTCTCCTTTGTAGCCCTGTTGGACACAATCGGCAACTCCTCCCAAAACAAGGCCCTATTTGAGACAGACCGTCCGTTTGAAGTTGGCCTTGCATTTTTGCCTGGGTTCCCAAACACAAGCACCGAGACGCCGTTGGCAAGGGGTTTTGAGCAGCCACAAAGCCTTGCTTCTTGATGGACCCGAAAACAAGGAGTTCACATTTTGGGCAATGAGAAGTGAAGCAACCCAACAAGCCAAACTCAATGGGCGATTCACATTCAACGACGAAGGAATATTCTGGTCATGATACCGCAGATATAGAAATATCTTTTCTACCAGCACCATTTGGGTGAAGGGCAAATACATGAGCTGCTACCAAATGGTGTCCCAGCTCTGTCTCGGACCGGTCCTTGTCCCGGTGAGAGTGGTGGATGTTAACGTAACCGAGGTCCTGTCGGGATATGATCCGCAGTGAGCTCAAGTGGCCAAGGCAAGAAACAAGCAGCTCTTTGATTTGGGCACGGAAAGCTCAGCCAATTGGGGGGGAAAAAAGACCGTGGAATGCCTGAAAAGAAAGCGGTCAAAAACCAGTTTGGCCCAGCATCGGCATTCACAGGGATCGAACATGTGTTAGATCTGGCCAGTTAGGTGTAGCTTGAAGATGTGTCAAATAGACTAAAGTGGGATTCCTGCCCCCAACAAATGCCTAACAGTAAAAGAAGAGAGACCAACATTGGTGGGCAAAGAAGCAGCAATGCCTCTTATTATGTTCTCCGGATGTTTTGCATCTCAGATTTGCCGCTGTGTCCTCCCTGTTCTCGGGCGAGCCCCTTCCATTCTGGGGCAGGGACGCTAAACGACTCAAAAAGTCTTGCGGGTAGGCTCGACACATGGAACATCCGCATGTTCTAGAAACTCGACAGCGCTCACTTGATCAAGTTCGAGTTCTAAGATGGTGAATGACGGAATCCAACGGCCATCTCCAAGATGCCAGCAGTATAGGTAGGACTTTTGGTTGGAGCACCCCTTAGGTCCCAGACATTACTTAGACTTTTGTCCACCCAATAAAAATCCGCCCTATCATCTTTGCCCGGGCGCATGCAAGGAATCATCCTACAAAATGGAGAGCCTGCGTTCACCAACGCAGCGCGGGGAGTATTTGAAAGCATTGAAATCACTGGATTGACCTTTTCTCAAGCACACAAGCAAAAGGATTCACAGCAAACCCATGTCCCCAGCTTTTGCCAAATGCTTTCCATTGAGCCACTTGCAAGCTGCTTGTCAACTCAACAGCATGCACTTCTGTGCTGTGGCTTGAAGTTTGCACACTCGGGGAATGGTGCTGCCACAACATCCACTGTTCAGAGCTGTTGAGGGCGTATATCTGCAGGCGCTTGTTTGGCGCCTCATTGAGAAATTCGGTGCTTGACAATACTTCGGAGTTGGGCGAGCTGCAACGTGAAATTGCGAGGATGACAAGATCGATTGAAACACGGGAGAACAAGGGAACATGGGATGAATGAGCCTGTCGTGGTGGATAGCGCTTGCACAAAAGTAGTACACACGGTCGCTACCCAGATGGGACCAAAACCGTTCAGCCAGGAATTTGTGTGACGAGAAAAGCCTATAATGGCAAGCTGCAGGCAAGGGTCTGGGTAGCCAATACTCATAACTCTTGGGATGACGAACGGGACTTTGCAAATTTGATGGCTCGCTGCGGTATAGTGGATGCCCAAAACCTTTCAAGCAAGGGGAATAAGGGGGACTGCCATAATAACCTGCTGTCATGCTCAAATGTAACACTGACAGGCACCACCAACACTCACCACAACCACCACAACCACCACCACCACCACCACGACGAAAACAACGCCAGCACGACAACGGCAACGACAACAGCCAGAAAGAATCATTGGCCCACATTGTCCTATCTGTCCATGACTCACAAACACGGTTAGCATGCAAGAACGAATCAAGGCATAAAATCCAATTTTGCTGGTTCCAAGACAACAACAGCAAGCCGACTTGCTCGTACCTGGTAGTTGTAAGCGATGTGCTAGTGAAGGTCAAGGAGGTTGAGGTCCGGCTGGTAGTCTGGGATCCGGAGTGATGATTATCTCTGAGACATCGTTGCACAACTCTGATGTGTCTCTCATAGACACTAAGAGCCCAATATTACCCCCCGATTTCTTGATACGTTTTGACGCTCGAACGGGTTGAAGGCAGCTCTCCTGAAGCAGGATTGTGTCAACGTCGACGTCAACCTTGTCAATCTGTTTGAGGTTCCTTCGCGGTCAATATTTCTTAGACGCAGCTGGATACATCTGCTACTAACACAGCGGATCGCGTCTGGACGGGTCCTATGTATTCCGGAAAGCACCTCATGATACCTCAGCAACAATGGCCCACGACACGACGAATTCGGCGCTGCATACAGAGCCCCTGAAGTCGGAATCGCTAGGATCCTTGATGCGATCACGTTCGCAAACACACGTTACGACAGGCACCCAACGTTTCAAGCCTTCCCAACGCCTAAATCAACTGATAGGACTCATGCCAGTGACTTGTGCAGATGCTCTCATTCTTATCGATTCCAATCAGGTCGTCTTGAGAACAAGCGCGACCATGGTGTCAAACTGGCACAAATCCATGAAACCCGCGGGAAATCACCGGGCCCATGAGAAGCAAAGAAACTAGGCGAGGGCTGGACTTAGATCGATGAACAGAAGTGATGATACCTGGCATTTCTTGTTACCTGGCCATAGGGGCAAGGAATCCAAATGACCCATGGGTCATCTCTTTGTGGAGTCAATTTACTCGTGTCTTTCTTGGCGTGTCAATCGTTCTTTATTAACTTGTGTATTGGCATATTCTTATACCTTAGTTTATGTCAGTCTTACGTTCCTTCGTTCTTTCTATATTTCTTTCTTTGATCGTTTAGTCCTTCAGTTCTTTCGGTCTTTCTCGGTCTTGGTTTGTTTCAGAACTCATTGTTGTAGGTCGTGATTTGATGTGCTTTCTTTACTTAGAGTCTTATTTTATTGTTTGGTTCTTTGCGTCTTTTGTCTTTTCTTTGTTAAGTATTCCTTGCTCTATGTCCCGTATTCTTCCTTCGTTTCCATCTCTCTCTCTCTCTCTCGCCGCGCTTTTGCTCTCCCTCTGTTTCTTGCTTGCTCCCTCGGCAACCAAAACACAGAAACCAGGGGAAGCTTCATGCAAAGCCGAAAGGCAAAGCACACAAGGCTACGCAGTACATTCCGAGGACTTCTGGATAGTGTGGTGGGATTGCAACCAAATGGCGATTCCCTGCTTGAACGTAACTCTGTTGCTCAGGCTTGCTTGCACGTTGGGCAACCACATATTTTCTTGGAGGTTTTGGGAAAGGAGCCTCACCCACAAGAAGGTGCCACTGGGCACTGGCTCAAGTGCACCAAACCACTTCAATGCCGAGGCACTGTTTGGCTGGTGGTGCTGGTCCAGGTATGAGTTGAGCCTGGGATGTTGAGACTTGGCCAGACTTGGACCTGCAACATGTTAACTTGTTGCAGTTGTTTACAAGCTGAGTTGAGTCTGGCCGTGTGACGTGTGCCTGCCTGCATTCAGAGGCTCAAGGCCACAAATAAACAGCATGCGGCGCAGCTAAGTCTGCCCAAGATCCAAGGACAAATCTCTACATGGCTTTGTGTCAGGACCTCCAAAGTTCCAGTTTCCTCTCGGCCTCCCTTCAAATTCCAGGCAAAGAACCAGCCACCTCTGATCCAAGATTGACGCAACGCCAACCCAGATCTGAACCAACATGGGGCAATCTGAGCAATGCTGCAAGGCCCAGGCCCTGTTTGGTCGCTTGCTTGTTTCTCTGCCTGCATGCCTGCCTGCCTGCCTGCCTGCCTGCCTGCCTGCCTGCCTGCCTGCCTGCCTGCCTGCCTGCCTGCCTGCCTGCCTGCCTGCCTGCCTGCCTGCCTGCCTGCCTGCCTGCCTGCCTTCGTGTGTGTGTGTGTGTGAAAGCTCTGATAGCAAAGAGTTTTGTTTTCATTTTGCAAGGAATGGAGTCGGTCCCCACTCTGCTGGGCTTGCGGATCCTTATGAGGAAACCCAGCAGAGCATCCGAAGCTCCAAATAAACAGGCAGGGCCTGGGCGGATGTCTCCGCAGCTGGCGTGCCTCTTTCTTTCTTTTGTCCTCTGGATAGGTTTGTGATGGGACTGTCTTAGACAACAAGCAAAGCACGAAGACCAGTGACAGACCATTTGACTTTCTCCTCTCGAGGAGCGGATCAAGTGTGTATCCCACGCTGGGTTTTCTGATAAAGTGCCCAGTGGGGCTCCAAGGAGCCGGAAACCAACCTTTGATCATTTGCCCACATGTCTCAGAGTTCCACGTCGTTTGATCTTGATCGCTGCGACTGCACGTCGCTAATGCATGTGAGCTTGATTGCCGCAGAGGATTGTAAGGTCCGAGATGATGACATGGCTAAGCCACGCATATACGCCACAGCCCTGTTTTCCTACCTTGATTCCCACTTCACTTGATTTCCACCTTTCCAACTCCGTAGAACAGGCAGAGCAAATCTGTCACAGTCCAGCAGCTGTTGATGCAACAGAACTCACGGGCAGCCATGCCTCAAGTGGTGTTCAACTTCTTCACTGCCGCAGAGGAATCAAGAACCTCATCCTCTGCGCTCCTGACGCAGATCTCACGACCCAGAGTGAGTGAAGACACACTTGTAAGTCCTGTGGCCACCTCCGCGCAGCGAACACACGCGACGTTGCGAGCTCGGACTTTTCAACTTCCCCCAGGCACTTTTCCACCGCCCGGCGATCTTGTAGATCGGCCGCCTGGTAATTTTTCAAGCATACAGGAACGACCCCGCCGTCGCTCCAGAAAGCCGCGCAGGGCGGACTCAAACACAAGAGGAAGGCGTCACAGTCGATCGCAGCATCGACGCCGTCGTAGACATGTTCGGTCGCTTCGTCGGGAAAGAACTCGTTCCCCTCACCCAATACGCCCCCAACAACGGGCCTAGACACCGGACTGTTTGCAGCTGCCCCGAAGCCACCGAACACGGAGGTGGAGTTTCCGGACGGACAGGGTCCCCAACCCGGACCTCCGCCAACAGGGCCACCGCCCAACGAGTGCACGTTTCACCGGTTGCATCCGACATCTGATTTACAACAGACTCCTGCACCGCTCTCAACGCTTGGAGTGAGAAACCCAGCGCGTGAAACGCTTGGGTATCCACAACACGCAGGACAGAGAACTGCTCTGGGATGCATGTTCCCAACCCTGCAGGCAACTGGGGTGCTCAGCCAAGGCGAGACCCCCACTTCCCCCGCAGGCTGTCTTGGAGATGGCCATTCAGTCCTTACAGCGGCAAGTTAAGGAATACACCCCGCATGAAGCACAGGGCCAAGCACCCGACCTCCCGGAGCGATATTTTCCCGTGCCGACAACGGACCTCTCGGAGAGTTTCTTTCCCCTGCAGACAACGGACCTCTGGTCGATGGAGAGAAGTTTGAACTGGCTAGCCCGCGGGAATGGTACCAACACATGCGGAACATGCAGCAAGAGTCGGATCTGCGGGACTTCTGGTGTTTCCGGCTGATGAGACGCAGTTGGTGTCAAAGCATGGCCGCTCACTTTGGAAAAAAATGTTTCAATCCCCCTGGCAAGAACGCCGCCAGATTAGGTAGAGACAGTCCTTTTACCGCTACGCCTGACCAAATGGATCCCCAGACTTTGAGGCGCGTGGCGCAGTCCATTGTGAGTTCCCAGTTGCCATACGAGCGTGCTATTGCAACCCCGCCAAGAATTTTCATGCATCGAGGCGGGGTTGCGGTCTGGAATTTGATTTGCTGGCTTTCCGGGCAGCCGATCCCCTCGGCTTATCCGACATGCAGTGGCGGCGAGTATGACATTTGGGCCTTGTAATGCCATCGAGCCGCGATGCCATGTCTATGACGAATGAAGAGACCCCGCTGGGCTTTGTTCTGCCGGGCTAGCTTAGAGTGTTGGGTGAAGAAGCTTCATTTGCGCAGTGGGCCACCACAGTGATTACTCATCCCAAAAATAGCATTGGGCGGGCAAGTTTTCAGGCACGCATTGCAAGTGCAGAGCAGCGAACACCAAGGCTGAACAACAAAAGCTCAGATATTATCGGTGATAAAGCCGGAAAGCTCGGACAAACGTTGGCTTGTCCGTAGCGACTGTGTTTTTTTTTCACGCTTGGTACTTTTGCATGATGCCAGTGACTGGGACAGCTGGGGCAAGTGGAAGCCCACCGCAACCCTTGGCAAAGTCACGGATCCGCAAAGAGCGGGCAGAATTCGTGGATGATTTTTTAAGTGAGAATGGCAAAACAATCTTAGCGATTGATGCCGCGAAGGGAACCAGTGTACAATGGAACCTGCCCTACTTTTCTTCCTGAACCGTGAAAGAGTCAGTCTTTATTGAATTCGGCACCGGCCGCTACGCATGGTTTCAGGCAAAGACGATCCAGAATGATTCGGCATTGACTCGGCTACTAAATCTTTTTTTTTCTCCGTTTGGTTGCCCGGGGTGCGTGTGCTGGTGTCCACGTCCCTGCCCGGGGTGGTGGCCCGTGTCAGGGGTGAAAGTGACCCAGCCACGTCCCAGGATGTGTTGTGTTGGTTTGCGCCTTTTTCTTCCGTTTTCGTTTGTTTTCCTTGTTGTTCTTTGCTTCGCCGTTCTTGCTTCTAAGGGAATTCTTTCCAGCTCCAGATTGTCAGTACGCCATGCTTCCGAAGCCATAGCTTGCAGGTTGAGTGAAGTAAAATGCCAAAGTATAAACTTGGCCCCGTTTGTTATGGGTTGTCTCGTTGGAAACGATGTAAACTATCGCTGTTTTGAGAACAGTGGAAGTTTTTGACAACCTAGTTATACTATGGCGCACTAGCGCTCGCGGTCTTGGGATGACAAGTCGTGGCAATCGCAGAGCTGGCGCTCTGATTGGGATCGCAATGACTGGTCACACTCAGATTCTTTCGGTGGCCCGTCTTCTAGGTGGTCTCACCAAAGTGCTCCTCGCACCCCTCCCAAAAGCCGAGGTGCAAGCCATGATCAGTCTGAAAACCCGATGTTGGCCTCTCCGCAGGGCGAAGCCCGTCAGTCCAACACCCTTCCGGATGCGTTTCACCCGACTCAGACCTTTTTCGATTCTAACGAAGTGTTTGGCGTCAAATTTCATCGTCAAATCCCTGCCACGGCTTGGGCAGTCAGGCACGGCTTCGCCGGCCGCAGCATCACAGACATTCAGCTTCAGGAGCTCGCCTTTCGCGGGTGGGATAATTACAACTTAAGGTGTTTGTCAGCGGGACGCTACGCGTCCATCTTATTTGCACGAAGCATTCGCGAAGCCGTTTTTGCTTCCTCTTTACTTTCCAAACTCAGAGAAGGAAAGGTCGATTTAGACCAAGTGGCGGCCCAATTTTTTCAAGACACACAGAAGTCATCGCCGTCCGACTTGGATGAAAATCAGAAAAGACATATCGACTCAACGAGTTGGCTGACCACATTGTTCGGTCGCTTGAGCCATATAAGCGTGAGGAGCTGGAAGCTGCTCAAGATAAAATCCGCTTGCTTCAGAAAGAACGGGAGGAAGCTCACAAACGCCCGGTTGTGCCCGCTGTCAGCCCTCAAGGCCCCAAAACCGAAACGCCCCCTCCGCCAAAGAGGGCGCGCACGGATATTGCAAGTGCTTTGAAAAGAGGGGCCGAAGTTACTGCAGCCGCCGAATCAGAAGTTGTCGAGGTTCCCTTCTGCCAAGCAGAAGCCTCGTCATTGCCAACCTACGTGGGCTCAATTGACGTGTTTGCCCCGCCGGGTTCTCGGGTGCTGGAGCAGAATGCTCCAGGAGGAGTTTCTTCTGCCACGGTCAACAGTTGGATCTCCAAGCTGAAAATTAGCGCGGAGAAGCGCACGCGCCTGAAGGAAGCAGTAGGTCAAGTTACCAAACACGTCAAGGAGATGTCTGCGGAGCAGACAGCATCCTTGGCAGATCGTACAGCTGGTTGGGGGGTTCCAGTGGCCATGGCCACCAAGGCCAAGCCGGCAGAATTGACGAAGATCATTTGCGCGGCCACCATTCTGTCTAGATGACTAGATGTACAATATACTCGGGATTTGCCGGTGCAAGGCGCAGATTGGCGGTTGCTTTCACATCTCATGGCTATTTTTCTCTTTTCTGGAAGTTGGTTTGCATGATGAGTCTGTCTGGAAGGTGCGTTTATTGTGTCGCATTTGCATTGCTGCTGCGTTTCATATGGTCCTTCATCGTGGAAGAGACTTACCACCCATGCTGCACAAATGGCATCTGCGCTTCAGGTCCCTGGAGATCTCTACTCTGCAATCAATACAGAATCTGGCTCGCAATTTTGAGAAGCCCTTTGCGGTTTTGTGACGAAGGCTGGAAACCTCCCGTATAGACATTTCTATGTGGGGAGTACTTTCGTTGGTGTTCATGACAAACAAGATGCTA